ATCTATTTTTACTTTTCCGACTATTATATATAACAGAGGAAAAGTGTGGCGATCGGTCAAAAAATGTTCTCCCAAAATTTTTACATTTTTGGAATCGGGAACCCTGAAACGTCAGTGTACAGTACAGTACATATATATGATGACACGATTTTGTTCACCCACTTTGAAGCCTAATAACTCCCGTGTTTTTTGTCAAAAATTTCTGGAATTTTGCAGGGAGATTTTTGTATTAACAGCATTTTTTTTCACCTACTTTCGTCCGGTGGGCACTAAGAGGACCTCTTTTAGCAAGTTCATTATGGGTTCGGCCAGACCCACAATGGGGTGTCTGGGTGGTAAGTCTCACATATCTGGAGAAATCACCCCCTGAAGATTTTTCGACCCGTCCGGATTCGATCCTGGGTCTCCCAGAACAGTAGGCTGCCATCTTGACCGCTCGGGAATTCGGTCGTCTTAAGCAGCGTTGATGCTATTAACTTTCGGTGGCTAAAGATCAAAGGATAGGGAGGCAGATGGGGTCATGTGTCATATCTCGAGTGGAGTCAGACTTAATGAAGATTTTACTCGTTGCATTAGCATTTCATTGAAAAAATAAAATAAAACTCATCTATTCCCTGAAAATTAAGCGCTTTATCATTTTATAATAATCAAAAATTTAAAAGGTTCAAAAATAAATAAATAAAATCTCTTAACAAAAAGCGCCATACAAAATTTTAACTCTTGTCCGAAATGCTACGCAACTCGTTGATTGTGCTTCATAAGCGAGACTTTTTCAAATTTTATGTTTAGAATTTTTTTAAACTCGTTTCTCAAAATAAAATAAAATATTATTTAAATTTACGGGTAGTACAATAAATCAGTAAAAAAGAATGGTGATTTTGATAAAGAAAATGATCAAAAAAAGTTTATTTTGTCGCCTAGGTGTCCGGCGCCCACTTGACCGTATCCTCTTTCAGTAGCAATACCAAGAGGAATCAGTTACTGAAGGAATACACTAAATGACGTGAAAGTAATTAACAAATGTTACAAATTGAATTATTAAACTACGAAGAAAGACCCATGGGCAATCCGCAGTCTTTCTTCTTGATTTTTTCTATGGCTCGAATACTGCAAAGTGTGTTATCAATGTATTTACTTCATAGGCAATTTATAGAAAGTTCAGGTATTCAGTAAACAAAATTCATATGGCTCTAAACGATAAATCTGATTAGTTATCCATAGTATTCCAATTTCCTTTACGCTTTTGTAGACTTGAAGATGTGTGTGAATTCTAATTAATGAGTTTAATTAATCGAGTTACATCAAAATTCCCACTAAAATTAAATAAGTACAAATATATATACAGTCGACCCCCTATAACACGGTAGATACGTTCCGGTTTTTATGAATCAATTTTCTACGAGTCCAGCCAATCACAGCCCGGTACGTACGCAGTTTACGGACTAAGCTGTTTGAAAGGTTTCTTCCATAAAATTAATCGATTCTAGACTAATTCGACTCAACATTTCCAAAATACGTATAATTTTTTTGGGAATAATCCATATAAACTATGCTATAAACAAAAAATTGTAGGATTACTTACCGAGCGTGCACCGTTCGACTACGCCATTGCTTAAGCTTGTTTTCGTCGTGGAGCTTGTCATCGAATGGCGTTCGCGTGCTTCCTGATAAATTATTATTATTATTTTTTTTTTGCAAAAAATTCGCTGAACTTTGGAGACATCATTAATATAAATACAATTTTTATGGACGTTAAATAATAAATGATTTTTAGTAGGTTCGCTGCTCGTTTAAACTCAACGGTTTGTACAATATCCGCTATTGGTCTAGATTCGACCAATCCTGTCGCGACACGAGTCGGCGATGACGTTTTACCGAATTATACGAGGTTTTTTAGCATGTTTGTACGAATACTGTCGCAATTTTTTCGCCGTGATATAGGAATACGAACTATAGGAACCCGTGTTATAGGGGGTCGACTGTATATATATTCATTTTTTCATCGGCTATTATAAATGATTGAAAATTATATTATATTATTTTATTACTTTTATTACAATCTTACATATAATCGTATTTTATTAAAATTCTAATATTCTTAGTATATTCTTAGTACCCGATTCCGCATCAAAACAACTAGCTGAGCATGCCCGGCGTTGCTCAGGTTTTTGAGAGAGTGGGGGATTGGTGATATTCAGTTGAGAGAGAGTGATAAAAACATTGGTCTTAGTAAATAAAATGTATATTTATTGATCTGAGTAGGCCTATTTACAATAATGAAACTGCAAAACATAAAAAAATTTCTCGGGCTAAAAGTATTGGGGTGGAACCCGACATGTTTATTCCATAGACTTAACATTGTATCTTTGCCACATCGCCAAGCTTGAACCATTGCATCTTTCTCAAACCTCTCTTCAGCGGCATCATATACAGGATAAGAGCTTTAATTTGATACCTGAACCGCATTTTTAGTCCCAACCGTTTACTCAAACTAAGTCTGACAAACTGAAATCCTCTTTCAATTAATATATAGTTGCTATATGATCTTTTACCTGCCCATACCAGCGAAAGATTACCCATAGCTACGTAGGCTGTACAAACCTCTCTCTCACTGAGTTACTATTCAACAAATATGACTCATTTTTAATAAATATAAATACATTAGCAAATCCGCTAATATATTTTTTAATTAAATTAATTGGCGGTATTTTTAGAATAAATCATATTGTATTGTCTGCCATTGTCTAGTGCTAGAGATAGGCCCTATTATTCTTATTATAACTTTCAGCATGCCCAAAAATTTTGGTCAGGATTTGCCCCTGGTTTTTCTACTTAGATCATACCAATATAATCACGATTATTAAAATTGTACAGTACTGTACATGACCTAAAAAAATCTTAAATATTAAAATTGTACTGAAATATACTAAAACATGAATTCATTTTAGGAATTAGACATGTAAACGATACAATAGTTTCTGCTATAATATATGTTGCCATTGCTGATTATCATTTATTTTTAATTTATAAAGGTTTACTTAAACTTTCTATAGATTACAGAGAAAAATACTTTTATTTAATTTCTTTTTATATCATGTTTATGCCTAATTTACTAAACGTACTATTAAGTTTTCATTATTAAATTTATAAACTGGAGTTATTATATAAAGAAACTAAAGATGGCACAGTAATGTCATAAAAATTGAAGTGATACGAACAGTAATTATAATTATTGATCTAAATTACGAGAAATGATACGGGATTTACGAGAAATTACGAGAAGTGGAGTGTCCGTTTTATATTTTATTTAACAAATCTATTTTTACTTTTCCGACTATTATATATAACAGAGGAAAAGTGTGGCGATCGGTCAAAAAATGTTCTCCCAAAATTTTTACATTTTTGGAATCGGGAACCCTGAAACGTCAGTGTACAGTACAGTACATATATATGATGACACGATTTTGTTCACCCACTTTGAAGCCTAATAACTCCCGTGTTTTTTGTCAAAAATTTCTGGAATTTTGCAGGGAGATTTTTGTATTAACAGCATTTTTTTTCACCTACTTTCGTCCGGTGGGCACTAAGAGGACCTCTTTTAGCAAGTTCATTATGGGTTCGGCCAGACCCACAATGGGGTGTCTGGGTGGTAAGTCTCACATATCTGGAGAAATCACCCCCTGAAGATTTTTCGACCCGTCCGGATTCGATCCTGGGTCTCCCAGAACAGTAGGCTGCCATCTTGACCGCTCGGGAATTCGGTCGTCTTAAGCAGCGTTGATGCTATTAACTTTCGGTGGCTAAAGATCAAAGGATAGGGAGGCAGATGGGGTCATGTGTCATATCTCGAGTGGAGTCAGACTTAATGAAGATTTTACTCGTTGCATTAGCATTTCATTGAAAAAATAAAATAAAACTCATCTATTCCCTGAAAATTAAGCGCTTTATCATTTTATAATAATCAAAAATTTAAAAGGTTCAAAAATAAATAAATAAAATCTCTTAACAAAAAGCGCCATACAAAATTTTAACTCTTGTCCGAAATGCTACGCAACTCGTTGATGGATTTTTGATTTTAATACGTCAATTTCAATAAACTTACTTTCCAGCAATGCTTATAGTAAATTTAAGGATTGTGTTTAAAAATATTAAAAAATTAGATATTTTAAAAAATGCCAAACTCTTCATCGTCTATTTTGAATAATATTTAATCTGTATAAACGGATGTGATAACATTATTTTAAATACAGTATGTTAGTTTCCTACAGTATTTCACTAAAACTTTCAAAAATTTCGACTAATGCTTCTGTTTGAAAAAATAATGCGTTTTTTGGATTCCATTATTCATATCGTTGTCTTGAAGTCACTAATCTTCGAATCTACTCTTTTGCTTTCGAAACACCGGAACTTAATTAAATCATGTGACAAACGAAACTGAATGTACTTCGCCACCTATTGAATCTTTACGAATTCGAAATAATTCGTTCACATAGTTGCGAAAATATTTTTATTATAACAAAATTTTTAACTTATATAAATAATATNTTGCGTGCAGCGTGCACATTGAGTTCGAACCACCATTCGCCTTTTTCTTTGCTTTTTCTCTCAAACGCTCCTTATGAGTTGCAGCAATGCAGTCCTGGGTTCGCGTGTCCACTCGCCTGTTCTTTTTTTTTTCCTGTTTAAAATATCATTCATCTCGGCAGTTACGTCCACACACAGCTAATTTAGATAATTTCGAACATCGCATTCTAAAATAACTATTGGGTTTCTGTAAATCAATTGATTTATATTCAAACCGTAATGCCCGTTTTAATGTAGCGCCATCTATTGGCAGGAAATTTAACGAACCGATAAAAATAAATATAATTTTTAGAAATTTTACACGGTACCAGAGTCGGTAGATTAACCGACTCTGACGGTACTAAAATCCTAAAACTTGTCTGGAGCGACTAGTGATTTTCAACGCCATCTGGTGAAGAAGTTTCACGCTAAAACTGCTTTAGCTCATCTTTGAGATTTTTTAAAATCAGCTGGATGTTTATCTTCAAATTTCTTGAATTTTGATTTTATAATTATTGTAGACATTAAATGATATTTTATTTTGAAATCAAAATTAATATTCCGAAACGAAATGATACGATAAATACTAGTAGGTGGCAGATAGTGCCGTAACCATAGTGACAGATATGTTATTGTTATTTCGTAATTTGTAAATATGTGTGTAAATATACCAAAATTTTACCAAAAATAATTGTTAATAAAAATAAATAATATGTTTTTAACCATTAAAATTAATGAATTATTTGGTATGTATATGTATACATTTATCCATATAATTTTTTTTCATAAATTTATAATATTTTAGTACACTTTTAACTTAATTATGTAATTGAGATGGTTTAATCTTTTCAAGTCCAAGAGAGAAAACAAAAAGGGAAAACAAATCTTTTTCAAAATTTTAAAACAAAATATCTTGCCAAGTATCAATGTAATAAATGGAATGAGTTCTATAGTTTTTTAGGATGTAGGGAAGGAGAAAACAGCAAGTAGGGTCTAGAAAATCAGTTAACAAGAAAAAGCTTAGCTGTTTTCCATTGTTTTGTTGCAATGAAATCATACCTACCCATATTTATTAGTGTATGATGTAGGAAGGTTTGCAAGTAGAAGTTACTTTTATTCTTTACTTTACCACTGGGTGCATAGGTAGACACTGAGCATCTTTAACTTCACTCTTTATTCAAGAATATCTTACACACTGATACACATTTCGGGCATATGTCCATTTTCTGTCACATGCCCAAAATGTGTATTGGTTTGCAAGATATTCCTGAATAAAGAGTGAAGTTAAATATGCTCAGTGTCTACCTATGCACCCAGTTGTGAAGTAAAGAATAATTAAAAAAAGACATGGTTTTGGAATAAGTCAAAAGTTACTTTTAGTTAATTTGTATATCTTGCATATATACAAATGAACTAAAAGTAACTTCTACCTTCCTATATAAAAAATTTTTGACTAATTTAAAGTGCATGTGTACTATGACTACTACTACTGGTGCTAATATATACTGTACATGTTTAATGTGTACACACACACACACACACACACAAAGTACTTAAATAACTCCTACCATTATGCATATACATATTAGTACTGGTGGTAGTAAACGTGCTTTAAAATTAGTAAAAAATTTTTTTTATACAACGCACTGTGTTTATACTAACTTTACTAAAGCTCTTTGTGTACTTTTATTACAAAATAAATTGTTTTTATTTTAAAGATTAAAAAATTAAATGAAAAAGACAGTTAATTTAAAAATTTAATCAAATATTTATTAAATAATGATTTTAAAAAATAATGTTACATAGAAATTAATATCATTAATTTTGTGAAAATAAATTGCAAACATTAATNTTTATTAACTTTTTTATATTGTTTTAATATATAATTTATTATATTATACATCATAAAATGATCTTTATGAATCATAACGTTCGTTATGAGGAACTTTATGAAGCTGTAAAAATTTAGTATTATTTCTTAGAAAATATTTTTCAAGTTATTTATCAGATTTTTTCTAGTGTTCTGTTGAACACAAACTAATCAGTGTTTTGTAACTAGCTTTTCATCTGTTCTGTGCATGGTTTTATTTTTGGACTCCTTAATTGTTTTTGAGGAGAATTAATAATAATAATAATAATATAATAAAACAATTGTTCATAAATAATTTTTGTGTACATAAGAAATATACAAGATCATTCACATGTTAAAATGAAAATATTATAATATATTTGACAATTTTATTTGAGTTTCATTTCAAGGGTTCTTAATTCCAACCCTGTCCACTTGTACCTGTTGCACCTGCCTAGTTATGGCACTGAACTTAATGTTTTTTGAATCTATCTTAAATGTTCTGTATTGAGTTCTGGAAATATGTGGTATTAACATATATATCAAAATTTTAATTATAAGTTTATGTGAAATTTAATATAAAGAAATGAAGTTTTAAACTTTCTTATATGAATTTTATTGCATTTTAATATGATTTTGTGTCAAAAATATTATTTATCAGTTTATCTCTATTTTTCATATTAACTGTTGGAATTAGAGTAGCCCTCTCCAAATTTCCAAAAAGATAGTCATTGCAACATATATCCACATATACAGTAATACAAGCATATTTCATTAATATGGTGAATTAGATTCCAGACCAATTGTCACTGTATTGCCTTAAAGTGAAACATTCTTTTTTTATTTGTCAGTACATATAAAGGCCTAAAAAAGCATTTATACTATCATTTATTAAGTGTACAATATCACTAAATCTAAAAACTTGTAAAAATCATAAATAAAAAACTTTGAAAACATTTTAAGACAAGGAAGTACCAAAAATAATAAACATGAATTGCAATTGAAAAGCACAATATTAGCAAAGTACATTAAAGTGAGGTTTGCCTATATCAAGAGTCATCAAACTATGGCCCACAAGGTCAGTTCATCTGGTCCACTGTTGCACTGTGCCACATAATAAGCTAAAATATAATTATTTATATGGAAATATCATAGATTGTAGATAAACTTACTATGTAGAAAAAGTTAAAATAATTGTAAGTAAAAATGCCAAAATTGGTCCATTCTGATTTTTGCATCTGATAGTAATATAATATTTAGGAAAATCGGTGAAATAAAAAATTCTGTGACTTTTTGCAAGTTGGATATCAGAGCTCTTTTTGTGTAAGTATCTGCAATGAAGTTTCTAAGAAAAGTTTGCTGCAGTGATCCTGTTTGTGTATTGGTAAATAAATATATTGGTTGTCTTTATTTTTTGTGTATTTAGTATACTGTATTGAACAAAATAGTTATGTGGCCCACACTCATCATTTTCTCAGTTATGTGGTCTGCTGTGAGAAAGTTTGGTGACCCCTGGCCTACATAAACAGTCCATATAAAATTTTTTAAAAATCTCTCTTATTCATCAGATTGAGATGTTGAGAATTTAGGCATGAATTGTCAATCACTGTTATAAATATAAAAACTTTTCCATTACTAAACACAATATTCTCCCAATAATTTTTGACATAAATGCCAAGATGTAAAAGCTTGGTACTATGTCAAGTAATGCCTTAATTATGTTTCTCATGTGGATGAATACAAAGCAGATATTTTGGCAGGAGATCTTGCCCTAAAACCATTGTTCTTAAGAGTTCTTGAAAAACTCAAATTCAATTATAATTTTTATTAATTTTATAAGACTACTAAAATTTTTTTTTTGTTTTGAGATACTGTAAAATGATTTTAGGCAGACCTAAAAAGGAGGGCAAGTTAACATCCAGCTCAGTTTGCCACAGACAAAAGACAATGCTGAAAAGCTGAACTCTCCAATTTGCATCGAAATTCCAAAGCTGATCATTTTGTCTTTATTAATAAAAAATAGATGAAACTGTCTTAGAATTGTTAGATTTGTGACTTTTTACAAATTGATGAATTTATTTTTTATTTTGATATCAGAAATTTCTCTCCATTAACAAATTATTTTTAAATTACATACTTATTTTAATAAGAATTTAAAAACTGTGAAATAGATCTAAAACAAAAACAAAATGCTTTGCTGGTTCATCTTTATATACAAATTACTCTATAGCAGTTTTCAACAACCAAGTTCTTCATCAGAAGATGTAGAAATGAATTAGTCTAGTAGCTGTCCCCAAAAGTGCTAGAGAGTAATTTTTAAATAAGAATGAACTCCAGCAAAGCAGTTTATTGTTTGTTATTTTTTTAAAGAACTTAGAGTTGTTTTCATATTAACCAAATAGATCTATTTATAAAAGATAAACTTGTCATTTCTATTTAAAAATTTTGTTGAAAAATATTCTAAAGTATTGTAAAATTCTATTGGAAAATATTCTTAAAATTGATTTAAGAAACTAAGATGTTTGAAATGAAAAAAATTAAATTATTTTTAATATTTCCTAAAAACAAATGAATGTATGGATTTACTCTAAATAAAAATTTAATACTTTACACATTATGTAATTACAATTAAATCTTTTTGGAATTATAAAATATTTGAAAACTATTTCAGTTCAGATTATAAAAATAGATAAAAAATATATATAATGTATAATTTAAAGAATAAGAATTATTAAAATTACATTAATATTTCTTTTGCAGATATATTTAAAATTTGTCAAATGAATTCTTTTAAAGTAGTTTCAATAATGAGATACTAAAATTGAATGAAATGTCACAAAAATTATCTGATAATGCTGAAGATAATCAATATTCACCTTTTAAAATGAAAAGAGAAGGAACATTTGTTGTCCCATCATTGAATAAAAACAGTGATACTTATAAAACATCAACTCGCTTATTAGTTGCTTCTAACCGAGCAAAATATTCTGCACAGATTGAAAAAATTAAAAAACCAGATGTGGAAATAGTAGTATATCAGTATGAAGGTAGTACTCTTGATCTCATAAAAGGTAAAATAAATTTTGATATATAAATGTATTTTTTTAAAAATATGTTTATCATTAATTTATACATGTTCTTAATGATAATCTTAATTATAATTGTTTTTTAAACTTTGTGACTGTGATAACATTTAATTAATAAAATAAATAAATAAGAATTATTCTTATACAGTAAAACTTGTCTAAAACAGAACTTGAATGAAATAGAAACCTGAACCATGTTCAGTATCACAGAATTCTTGCTAAATCTAGTTATACAGTGATGCTGAACTTGTTTCTAACCACTACTTGACTCCTCCCACTTCTAGAATTCTAACTAGTTCAGCTTGTTTTATCTATACTAACTTCTACTTGTGATATCATTGCTTTTGTCTTGTCATAGGATTTATAAGATGGCTACTTGTCATAGGATTTATAAGATGGATTAAATATAATTCAAGTTACTTAACATAGTCATAATTACAGAGATTGAAGTAAATGATTAATTATAGTATTAAAATATTTTGACAAGCCAGATCAAAGAATAACTTGGTCTCTGTATTACTGTAAGGCATTTAGAGTTTCAAATAGCAGTGTGAAATCTAGTTCTTGATACTCAAAATGGCTTATTTCAGCTCATAAGGATTGCACCCAAGATGTATTCAAATACCTAGCACAAGATCATTGGAAAAATTTTTTTTACAATTTATTCGATTGTAAGAATTTGTAATAGTTTTCAATTCTTGCAATTTAATATGCCCATCTTTAGTTGGAATAACTTTGGATTAAGCCTAGTAATAAAATTTTTTACATATGTAAAATTGATTTTACTATGAAAAAAATTGAAGGCCAATGACTGAATGATGTCAACCTTCACTCTGAGAACCAGGAAATGAATTCAGACAGATCAAAAACCCCAGGAATTTTTCAGAGATTTATATGTCAGACCCATCTCTTGTCATCTAGTTGCTATATTATAGACCTAGTTGAATCCATGATGGGCTTGATAAGAAAGTTCTCTTAGTTCCCACAGGATGGAAAGAGTAAAAAAAAAACTATTAAAAAACAAACATAACTATGTAATATTTATCTGATATAGTTTAAAGATTAAAAAAGTACTAAAATTGTTCAGAATAGAAACCTGCCAAAATGGAAAAAATAATTTCATTTGATTCTGGTTTATACTTATTTTACTGTATAATAAATTATTTGTGAAGTTAGATTACTTCATTTAATGTTTATAAATCTTTATTTATAAAGATGAAATTTCAACACTTCTTAAAGAAAATAAAGCTGAATGCATTGGATTTCTTTTTCATGGGACAGAGAAAGAATTATTTGTTGCTAATGGAAAGGTAAAAACAAATATGATATATTGAAATATATTTAAATTGATCTTAGTAATAATTTCTTTATAATTTTTGACTCAGCAAAATTTATTTCTAAACAAAGAAAAATTATCATTAGGCTATATTATTATCTTCTTAATAATAAGATTTTTATTTTGAGACTAAAGAAATCTTAACTTCTCATGTCAAAACATTTCAAAATTTTTCTTAGAACTATTTATTGGAACAAAAATATAAGCAAGCATAATATCCTAATTATTTCAAGTACATATGTTCATTTTTAGGAGTATAAATGTCAAATAAATAAATAAATAGTTTTGGCATAAGTACTTTAAATAAACTAAAATAAATACAACCAACCTGATAATTATTTCAAATATCAAATGAACAGCAGATTCCTCTACTGAGCTCTGTTTATTTATAATTATTAAATTTAACAACAGATGTTGAACAAACTGCTTTCCTTTGTCAAATTACTTAGTAATTATTTAGCCTTAGTTGCCCAATAAAGGAATCTGGCTGTTTGTTTGATAATCAACTACAAATAGTTCGTTACTTACTCTTGTTTTAACCGATTTGATTCCTATAGGTTTTCAATTAAACTTTTTAAAAATTTTATTGAAAGCATTTCATTTTTTCCTTCAATAAAATGGTTTTACAAAAGATTTTAAATGGTTTATTTATAGATGTTATTGTAATCACTACCATTATATGTGAATTAGTGATTTAATTTTAGTAGTAATTTCAATTAAATAGTATTTAGTATTTTCTCTAAAATGTTTTTTTTTTAGATATTTGTATTTCTTTATGCATTTACATTGCTTTACAATATTTTTATTAGAATCAATCTCATTCTCAAGTTGGAAGGATTTCTCAAATGGAATTCTCATATTGGAAGGAATCAATGAGATTGATATCTATCAGAATTTATTCTGTATTATGAAGACAATTTTTTGTATAATAGTATTGAAAAGTAAATTGAAATGTAAATGAAATGCAGTATGTTTATTAGAGATGATGTGTTTTCAATATCTCTGTAATGATTTATCTAAAATGTTGAGTAACAAACATGAATGATAATTGTTTTTATGGATAATAGAATGATTACCAATGAAATAGCAGAATATGAAGAATAACTTAGGAGGTAATCTGCTGATAACAGTGAGAAATTTAAGATAATATATAATATAATCCATTTTTAAGTGTAAATTTTAATTTAACATCTAGGAAATGAATTATATTTTATGTTGTTAATAATACATGTTATACATAGAATTACTCATCATTTTGATGGAATATATGACAGTTTTGAGTACATGAAAAGGGAAAGTGATATATCCACTTTTGAGTACATGAAAAGGGAAAGTGATAAGAACTGTGAGGAAATTTATTTAACATTCAAAAATCTTATTCCTACATATTTTAGACATTTCTCATTCATATTCCTTAGTAACACAATATTAGTCGTAACTTCTTTTTCTACTTTGTTCTCTCCACAATTGTTACTTCATAAAAGCATCTTCTTTCACAATTGTTACTTCATAAAAGCATCTTTAAATAGCATCTTCTGCTATTTAAAGCTTTTAATAGTTGTTTTTAGCAGTTTTTTATTATGCTTAATTGCTATTATGATATTTTTAGTTATACTCTTTAATTAGTTTTTTGTCTTCATAATACATTTTCTAGTGTCTAATTCTCTACACTCTTTTGATATTTAAAACATTTTTGTTTAATGTAATACTATTATTGAACATAAATCTTAGTGGTATTGGGTTTTTTTCCTCAAAAAAATTGCAACTAATATGAAGATTGGCTTTTTTCATCAAACTTAATCTGATTATCTTAGTTACACTATTGATTAATTTTTGAAATTTCTGCTATGTTCTAGGCTCAATATTGCTTGTAAATAGAAATTTGCTGTAAAATCTAAATGAATTACGAGTAGTTATTTTATTGTGACATTGTCACAATGCCAACCTGCAATTTTTAATCATATTTTTTAATTAATTTAATTTAAAATATATGCTCTCCACCTTCAAATTACCAGTGTTTTGCCTCTGTACATCATACTTTCCCTTTAACAATAGAGTTGTGCTGGTTATCTATCCAACACCTTTCAGGGAAAAATTTTTGAATTGAAATAACATGACTTCCAATTTGCATTGGAAGTTTGTATATAGTTAATCAGGGCCTCCTGCCCCTAAGGTTTCCATATCTTTCATCTATCTAACTCTGTTCTCATGATTAAGGAACAACAGTGGGAATTTATAGGTCTACAATTTTTTCAAATTGCAGCCCAATTACTTTTTTGGCTTTCTTTCCTCATTGTTTTAGTGCTATATGTGTATAATAGGTATTTTATAAACATAATATTTAAATTAAATTAAAATAACGTTTATATACAAAGAAAAACTGCTTCATATAGATTATCATTTACAATTTGTGAATTCCTTCACAAATCAAGTTAACTTATTTCACTGCTTTAGTTTTTACTTACAAATATAAAATATTCAATATCTATATACATGCCAATATTTAAAAACTATGTCTGATTGGTGTAAAATCAATGGAATAAATTATTACAAATAAGAGAATAAATTAATATATATGAGGTGATTAGATGGCACATGATTTATAATGATTAAAGTTGGATACTTCAAAATAAATTTCAGATTTAGAAAAGTGATATTAAAATATATAAATTATCCACTTGGCACAATAGATACAAATTATAATTACTAATTGGCAGTTAATGCAGTAAATTTTAATAATCATTATATTGTTATTACATTATAATTCAGTTTGAAAAGTTTATTGAAGTAAATTTTTAAATAACTATAAAGTATGTTTAATTATTTTTTTGTTAATAGGTATTATCTGTAAAATCTATAACAGAAGATGAAAGTATACAACTATTTTTTCATAGTATTATTAAAAAGCATCTAGATAAGGAAAGTTTAAATTATCATGTTGATATTCTTGGCTGTACATTAGCAAATGAAAAAATAGATGCTATTTCAGAAGAAATGAAAAAATTATTAGAGGTAAGGCTTTAATACTAATTTTATATTTTTTTATATATTTTTGAAAAGAATACCAAAATTTTTCAATATTATGTTTCACTAATAACTTCTAAAACAGCAGTCGCTAACTGGTGGTCTGTGGTCATTGATGGTCTGCTAGAAAATTTAGACCTTAATCAACTCAAGATTATGCAAAGTATTATAAAAGGAATATGAAATGACTGATTACTTCTTTTCACTTTATTTGAGGTTTATTATTTGAATTTAAAACCAAACATGAAATGGCTGTTATAAATCAATAAAGAATCAACAATAAATAATGTGAGTGCAATTGTTGTCCTTGATAGAAAAGTGCCAAGAATCCATAAACTTATTTTAAACAAGCACATCAAAACTTTACACTAATTTGTTATAATTAAAGAAGTGAATTACATATTAATGAAGTAAAATGGAATTTTTATGATCATTATTCTATAGATGTTTGTATCCTTTAAAAAAATTTACGATAGTGATCCATGGAATTCAAAATTATCTGAGTTTATTTTATTATGGAATTAATATAAAAATATAAACACTATTTATTGGAACAAAAATATAAGCAAGCATAANATAAATTAATATATATGAGGTGATTAGATGGCACATGATTTATAATGATTAAAGTTGGATACTTCAAAATAAATTTCAGATTTAGAAAAGTGATATTAAAATATATAAATTATCCACTTGGCACAATAGATACAAATTATAATTACTAATTGGCAGTTAATGCAGTAAATTTTAATAATCATTATATTGTTATTACATTATAATTCAGTTTGAAAAGTTTATTGAAGTAAATTTTTAAATAACTATAAAGTATGTTTAATTATTTTTTTGTTAATAGGTATTATCTGTAAAATCTATAACAGAAGATGAAAGTATACAACTATTTTTTCATAGTATTATTAAAAAGCATCTAGATAAGGAAAGTTTAAATTATCATGTTGATATTCTTGGCTGTACATTAGCAAATGAAAAAATAGATGCTATTTCAGAAGAAATGAAAAAATTATTAGAGGTAAGGCTTTAATACTAATTTTATATTTTTTTATATATTTTTGAAAAGAATACCAAAATTTTTCAATATTATGTTTCACTAATAACTTCTAAAACAGCAGTCGCTAACTGGTGGTCTGTGGTCATTGATGGTCTGCTAGAAAATTTAGACCTTAATCAACTCAAGATTATGCAAAGTATTATAAAAGGAATATGAAATGACTGATTACTTCTTTTCACTTTATTTGAGGTTTATTATTTGAATTTAAAACCAAACATGAAATGGCTGTTATAAATCAATAAAGAATCAACAATAAATAATGTGAGTGCAATTGTTGTCCTTGATAGAAAAGTGCCAAGAATCCATAAACTTATTTTAAACAAGCACATCAAAACTTTACACTAATTTGTTATAATTAAAGAAGTGAATTACATATTAATGAAGTAAAATGGAATTTTTATGATCATTATTCTATAGATGTTTGTATCCTTTAAAAAAATTTACGATAGTGATCCATGGAATTCAAAATTATCTGAGTTTATTTTATTATGGAATTAATATAAAAATATAAACATTGAACATATAAATTTTAGATAAACAATTTTGAATGTAAATCCTTGCAATGTAGATTTATCTGTTGAAAATTTTAAGTGTTTTATGCAGGAAAGGAATTTTAATGAGATAAGTTACAATTTAATTTAAACAGATACAGTGAATTATGTTTCAAACTAATTTTTAATGTGAAAAATATAAGATATATTTAATCAAACACATTTTTATACTATAATCCTGTATAATTTTATATTTCTGATGGTCTGATATATGGCATATAGATGATATTATCTCAAAGAATAGAAAAATTTGAGATTAGTTATTTAAATCTTATATTTACTCACATTAAAAATCAGTTTGAATATAGAAGTTTCCTTTTAAAATATTTATTTATGTAAGACACTATTATAATATGCAAATAATCAAATATACTAAAAATAGAATAGTAGAATAATAATAGAAATCAAAATCTTAAAAAATTGCAAATAGTTAAATCAATTTTTAGATCAGTTTCTAACATGAAAATTATCCTACAGATTTTAAAGGAATTGAACGAATTAAAAGCTATATTAACTAAAACTAAGGAAATTTAGACACATACTTAAATAAATATATTAAAATACAGGTTGATTCAAAAAGGACTTCACAAACTTGAAAGCATATAGGATTTTAATCAGAAGATTTACAGAATTGATGTTGGTTTTAATTTTTAGCAAAACACATAAAGTTTTTACCTCAGACACTCATTTTGGTTAATGTGAATGCTATTAGTGATTGAACAGACATCTCACTTGAATTCAATTTCTTGCTAAACTCAAAGCAGTAAACTCAAAGTGTCTGTTGTCACTTCAGTAATTTTAATGATGATGGAGATTTGAGTTTTGAGCTCAATGAAATTTGCAGGAAAAAATTGAGTAAATACTAGATCTTATTGAAACCCCAAAAGAAAATATTGAGAGGTATCAAATCATTGGAATGAAGTGGTCATGAAATAGCTCTGCTTAATCAGTTCACCAACCTGGAAAATATTTATTGAGGAAATCCTAGACATCTATATGATACTGAGAGTGATGCATCATCTTGTTGAAAATGTATGTCTTTCTGTATTACAGTCATTTAACTGTGAAATGAGAAAATTTTTTAGCATATTCAGATACACAATACTGTTGATGGTTCCTCATGGAAAAAGAAGAAGCCATACACTTTGTCTTTGCTAAGAGTACAAAATATATTCATATTCATATATTTGGACTGTCATAAACATATTCCACAATTGTTTGTGTATTTTTGAAGCCCTAAATTCTGCAGTTGTAAGAGTTCACTTTACCACTAAGATGAAATGTCAGCTCATCACTGAAGATAATGTTGTCCAGAAATGTTTCATCTGTGTTAATTTGATGCAACATTTGTACACAATATGGACAAATTTGATGTGTTTTGCTATAAATTAATACCTGAACTGATTTTGTAAGGTTTTTGCTTTCAAAGTTGTAAAGTTCTTTTTGAATCCTATGTATTGAATTTAGTGTAAATTATTTCATTTAATGAATTTAAATGACTGATTTTTTAAAAGTTCTATAAAAAAATAAGTAAGATTAAAACTTCTTTTTAATAACAAATGTTTTTAACATATTTGTTTGGAATACAGGTAACCCCCGTATAATATGGTAGTTACGTTCCAAAAAAATGCCGTGTTATGCGAATCCGTGTTATACGAAACAAAGAACTAATACGAAAAGGAGGGTTAGGTTCCAAAAATTAAAAAACATGCTAGTATATTTTCATAATTAAGATAAATATCTTCATTAAAATTTTTTTAAGTGATACATATTAATATAAATTAAACAATGTTTTCTTCGTCATCACTAAAAACACTATTAATTAACCGAGAGCGTTTTCTTTTTGGCAAGTTATCCTTATCCTCTGAGCATTTTTCTGCATTATCTTCAGATCCATGCTTTACCTTTTGCAAAATGTATGTAATTTTAGATTGCTTGCTTCTAGTTAAAAGGTCTTTATAAATTTCCTTATATGGTGCTAAGCACTTATGAAGAATAAAGCAAGTATGGAATAAGGGAAAAACATTCGGCAACATCAGAAGCAGAAGCGTCGCGATCTGGCAACATTGAAACAAGTTTCGAGAAGGACCACGTGTATCGACAGAAGGCGAGAAGAGAAAATTTACATACTTAAGTACTAATAGTTCACGAAAATAATAATTTTCGTGAACTATTATTAGTTAAGTATGTAAAAATTTATTACATTTCCTGTTGTACGAGGGTTTTACCCAATTCTCGAACCGTGTCAGAGTGAATCCGTGCTATAAAAGTACCATGTTATACGGGGGATGGTACCAATTCTCGAACCGTGTTAGAGCGAATCCGTGCTATAGAAGTGCTGTGTTATACGGGGGTTACCTGTATTTATATTTAATCATCATTGAAAGCTATATCTGTTGGTAAAGTCAAATATTAGGGCTTATTATAAAGATTCCTAACATTTATTTATTGTATTATAATAGTTTGAATTTTTAAAATAAATGTTTATTATTTTTATTATCTGGAAATTAAAAATTATTGTTTTAATTATGTAGTGTCCTGTTTTAATATCAAGAGATCTCCATGGAAGTGATACAAGTGTTTCTTTATTAAAAGATAATGAAATTAAAGATGTGTAAGAAAATTTAAAAATTTAAAACATTTTATGTATTAAATATTATTTTAATCATGCCTCAATAGGTTATAAATACAGAGTTTTTGTATTGATAATTGAAACACAATTTATATAACATTGTCTATTTATACAGTTCAAACATTTTTGATATGTTAGTCATATTATCATCAGGAACAAATTCAAATTAGAACAATATATGTAAAAGAATACTTTTCAAATTATTTATAAAAAATTGTTTAAAAATAATTTGAAAAGTAAATATTCTGTTCTAATTTGAATTTATTTCTGATGATGATATGACTAACATTTCAAAAATGTTTGAACTTTATAAATATAATTGTTATATAAATTATGTTTTGTTTGTGTACTAACACTAAACAAACTGAATTTAGTGTATGCTACAAGAATTCTTGAATGAATTTCTATTATAGTCAAATATAAATAATGTAATAAAAACCAAAAGACCTCTGTTTATTTTAATATTTTTAGCATGCATTTTAAACAATTTTAGACAACTATAAAATAGAAATTTCTGTAGAGCATCATTAACTATGAAAAAAATTCATAAAAAACACTTAAAATATTATATATAGTATTCACATAAATATAAATACCACATATAGTGCATGATTGGTTAACGAACATAATCTGTTCCAAGACCATGCTTGCTATCCAAATTGTTTGTTAACTGATTATTGATTTACCATATATATTTGTGGGAATTTGATTAATTCATTCTGGAGACCCCACAAAATAAATAAAAAATTATATACTTCCTTATTATGTTTATTTACATGTAATAACAAACTAAAAGCAGTCTCTCCATTTTTTTTAATGGATGGCACATCTTTGTTTCTCAGATGCGATTTTTGTTACTCCTTTATCTGCTTGAGTCTTTTTGATTATATTTTTCTTAGCTAAGATTATATCTACTGTAGACCTGTTGAAGTCATCTGCCTACAATATCAGATATCTTCTGCCCACTCTCTACCTTGGCTATTATCTCTTGCTTAGTTTCTATAGTGAACACAGTTCTTGACACTCCACTCTTTTTAAGTCCCATAATATTATTAATTTTTAAATAAAAAGTTCAGAAAAGCACTTACAAAAATTCAGAGAATAGAAATTAACTAGTGCAAAAACTGTTATGTATACAACTGTGAAAGTCTCATTCTATAATCATATATATGCCATCAAAATTTAGTTTTACAAATCTTAAACGCAGCATCGCTTCTTGTGTTTGTTCTATCAGTTGTTCATTATTTGAACATGTGTTTGTTGTCTGAACATAAAAATCTTTCGTGAAAGTGTTCATTGACCAATTTGTTCACAGTCCAAACTGTTCGTTAACTGATCACCCACTGTAAATTAAAAATAAAAATAAAGATTTTTAAATACTTAATCATACACAATAAAATAATTTGTAGTTAATAGTTTCTCTCATAAAAATAACTTTAAAACATTAATTTAATAATTATAATTAAACTAATATAGTTTTCATTTAAATTTTATGTTTTTTTATAAATTTGTTTTATTTAAAGTTATTTGATTTTTGTTTTATTTCATCAATTTATTAGTATGACTATTATTTATAGATCTATTGGTGAAATATATTTTGATATAATTAAGTTAAAAGATATGTTGATAAATTCATCACAGAATTTGACTGGTTATGAAAAAATTCGAACAGTTGGAAAAGGTTAGATATTTTAAATAATTAGTTTAAAAACAAATAAACCGTTTAATGTTCATTAGTCATTGATTATCAACTTTACTTATATACAGATATTATAAATTTATTATAGGTGCTTTTGGAACAGCTGTACTATATAAAAAGAAGGATGATGACTCTTTAGTTATTTTGAAAGAAATTAACATGCATGATCTCACAGCAGCAGAAAGACAGTTGGCAATAAATGAGGTAATATAATATGAATATGTTATGAGATACTGATTATATAGTTCTATTTTCTGTTGTTTTAATTTTAATATTTGACATTTAAAAACAAATGAAAATAAATGGTTTTTTACTAAAATTACAAGCATTTTCTTTTGTTAAATATATATCTAGGTCAGCCATGTTCAAATTTCCAAAAAGGATGATATTGCATGTGTCAATAGGCATGTTGATTATGATTGTATATAGCTCCAAAAATAAAAATATTTTCATATGGGACTGTATGTATAGAGCTCCTTATGAAAATTTATTTCTAATTTTTCTTCTTTGTCAGGTTGAAGTAATTGGGATTTGGATGTTAATTGTCATATTACTTGTAAATAGTTGATATATCAAAATTTTGAGTTGTCTAGTGTCTGATGAGACTTGAAAGTTTTTGCAACATGAATTGTCAGCATCTTCAGTGTCTCACTTTTAAATTGTTTAAGTTGCTAGTCTCTTAAATTGTAATTTTGGTTATATTTTCAAAATGAGGTAATTAATTTGTGAGGGTTCTGGATCCTCACAAAACTGTTAACAATTTTATCTTTAATCTTTTCATGAGCAAAGTAAAGTTAATCTTATTGAAAGTCAATATTAATGTAAGCTTTAGACCTAGCATTGAATATTATCATTGGAAATTCTACTGGTTCATTAAAATTTATTTATTTTTTCTTACAACAAGTTAATGTCTCTTGGACAATAAATGCCTCCCACATGGAACAGTAAAATATAAAAAGCAAAGACTTATCAAAATAAATATTTTCAAAAAATAAAGTAAACTTTCTTCATTACTGTGGGATGCTCAATGGACCTTTTAAGTAGAGGTGTGTTTGGCCTCATCTGTACAATAAACAATAAACTTTAAATCCATCAAACTCAAATAAAAATTTTTTGTCAAATTCATATTTCCGATAAATATATATACAAGGTGTGATAATTAAATTCTAGGACTGGGGTAATAAAAGGACACAAAGAACATGTAATGAAAAACCCTTTTAATATGTTTCAAAGTAATCCCCCCTGGAGGGCAATGCACTTCTCACAACGCTTGTACAAGTTCTTGAAACACTTGGCAAAGTCACCTTCGTTGACAGCTCTCAATTCCTTGGTCACATTGCTCTGTATGTCCTCCAGGTCGTTGAATCTTCATCCCTTCAATGTGATTTTGATTTTCGGAAACAAAAAATAGTCACAAGGTGACAAATCTGGTGAGTATGGAGGGTGGTTCAACTCCACAATTCCACGTTTTGGCCAAAAACTCCTTGACAACAGTCGCAGTGTGCGGGCGGGCATTGTTGTGCGGCAGTACCCAGCTTCCTCTCACTGCAAACTGAGGTCTAATCCGACGAGTTGTCTCCAGATTGATACCAGTTGTCTCTGCTATTATCCGAATAGACATTTGACGGTCATATCGCAGCAAGTCTCTGATTTTTTTTATATCTTGTGGTGTTGGAACTGATTGAGGTCATCCAGGGCAAGCATCATCCTCAAGGTCTTCCTGACCATCCCTGAAACGCGCAAACCACTTGAAAATATGAGAGCAGGATGGAGCATCATTCCCATAAACTTGCTTGATGAAGGCATACGTCTCTGTTGCACTTTTACCCAACTTGTAACAAAACTTAATGTTTGCTTTTTGTTCCATGACAAAAACGTGACAGCACTTTCTCACAGCAATATGTGAATGGAGTACAGAAAGAATGAGTTACAAGAGACAAACAAATCTTTGCAGACAAGTAGCCAGATGGTTGAACTGTTATGACAAGCTTAGACAAGTTTCTGCACGCTGACACTGCAGCGCTACACGACCAGTCCTGGAATTAAATTGTCATACCTTGTATTATACTTTTAAGACAAACAAAGTAGATATAAAATTTTTATATATTCTTCATTTATCTATCATTTAAACTTTACTTAATATATCATAATATAACATATTCTCTAATACAGCAATTGCTAACCAGTGATCTGTGAGAACATTTTGGTGGTCTGCACAGAAATTTGGATATTGATCAACTGAAGGTAACATGAAAGTATTATGAAAGAAATGCAAAATGCTTGATGCTTTTTCTCACTCATTGAGGTTTATTATTTGCATTTTAAACCAAACACAAAATGACTGTTATCAATAAATAATAATGTCAATAAATCAATAAAGAATCAACAATAAATAATGTTGTGAGTGTAATTGTTGTCCTTCATAGAAAAGAGCTAAGAATCCATAAACTTATTTCAAACAAACACCAACAAATTTTACACTAATTTGTTATAATTAAAGAAGTGAATTTCATATTAATGAAGTAAAATGGAACTTTTATGATCATTATTCTATAGATGTTTGTATCATTTTAAAAAATTCCTTATTCCTGATTGATCCTGTCTGTGAGATTCAAAATTGTGTGTAGTCTGTGAGGTCAGAAAGGTTGGAAACTGCTGCTCTAATAATTATATCAATTTATTCTGATTGTATTCAATTTACTAATTAATGTACTACTATTAAAGAATGAATGGAAGTTGCTTACAATACAACTAGAAATTGTGTAATAAGATTCAATAAAATTCAAAATTATCATTTACTAGATTGTAAAATTCAAAATTATCATTTACTAGATTGTGTATTTTAATAAAAATTTGGGCTTCTTTGCATAATTATTTTGTTATGTTGTTTTATTTATTATTCTATTTTATATTTATGTTTAATTTTTGAAATTATGCTTTCTGTTTCAGTTTTAATTCTGAATTTCTGAAGACATTTTTAATCAGTAAAAGTTAAAGTACTTCAATTTTTTTATTTATGTTAATATACCTTGTTGAATTATGATATATATTATTACTTCTGATAACAACAGAAAATATAAGAATAAAATTATTTTATTTGATCGAAAATGTCTTTAATTGAAAATTTTATTTTAGTTTTTAATATTAACTTTACTTTGAAATGAGATTGCTATTTTAAGTAAATAAAATTTAAAATTAAATATGAGAAACTAATTTTAATCTTTCTTTACATAAAAATGAATCTGAATTATGATTTTATTCATATTTCTTTTTAGATAAATGTGTTATCTATGTTAGATCATCCTAATATTGTATGTTATTATGACAATTTTGAACAAGATGGCATCTTAATGATTGAACTAGAATATGCTGATGGAGGGTATGTTTAAATATAATAATTGTGAAATTATGTAATACAATAAAGCATTTTTTAAAATATGTATTTACTGATATTACAAAATTAAAGTTTCATATTTATTTTTATTTTTAAAAAAATCTTATTTTGTGAAGACCAGTTAAATTTCATATATATTAATACAAACCATTTGAAAACCATTTGAAGATACCATTTGAAAAATCATTTGAAAATACACAGAAAATTGATTTGCAATTGGTTCTTTTATTTCAAAGATTTTATATTTATAATACAGTAGAGCCTCGATTATCCGACCCCCGATTAATCGACACCTTGGTTAACCGACCGTCCTAGTCGGCAAATTTCAAATGTCCGCTAGTGATGTGGCGCTACAACGTTTGCCTATGTCTTGGCTACTTTAATATTATTTTTACTTGTTTTAGCTGGCAACACTCATTGGACCATGAAATGGAGCCAGTATTTAAAGGAGGCTTAATTTTCTAATTTTTAACATTACAATAGCGACGATTATTATTTTAAAAAATTTTTGTTAGGCTTAACATCGATGAAAATTCAACGCAAAGTGGGTTAATAGCGGTATACTAATATACTAATTACATGGGATATAATAATATACTACATTAATAATGGATTTTTTCATACTTTTCGGTTATCCGACTTTTCAATTATCCGACCAACCCCAGTCTCCAATTGGGTCGGAAAATCGAGGCTCTACTGTACATTCACTGACAAAAAAAATTATGCACTCCAATAAAATTGTCCAATTACTGCAAAATTTGACATACAGCTATGACTCAGACAACTTTGTAAATTATTGCAGTCATAGTCTGATTGCACACCAGGTAATTGTTGGATTGGTTATTTTTTGTACTTGTGAAAACCTAATGACCAGGCATCCAAACATGGTTTACCTAAAGATGGTTGTGAGATTCAAGAATGTTTTTGTTTCAGGGTCAGTCAAATGAGCAGAATGTGACTGGAGTCCAGTCTGGACCGGTTATAACCACCCAACTTCTATTTTATTGTAATAGATTAATGAGAATTACTCAATTAAAGATCTAAACACCTCCAAAGATCCTAACAGTAATGTTACTAAAGTGCCTTCAAATCACTACACATTATTTTCAAGGTTTTCAAATGACAGACATATCATCATGACACACTCAAAAACTGTTTGATATTGGCTTTAGGTTATAGGAAAATCAGAATGGTCTTAGCATATTATAATTGTGTTAATAATATAAATGTGATACTTGGTTGATATTGATGTGTTATGACAGACCAAAGTCAAGCATTATTATTACATGTTTACTTTCAAATCTAGCTGTTCTAAGGATTGATTTATAAAACTCTAAAGATATTTAACCTAAATTAACAAAAAAATAGAATATCATATTTAGTAAATGGAATGTGTGAATATTTAGATATTTACTGTATTTAATTGAGTTTGGAAAACACACAAATTAATTTAACTGTATTTAATTATTTAAATATTATATAAATAAATTATTGAATTTTATGTATTATTTAAATTTCACTGTACCTAAATAATATTGGGTTGTTTGGAAAGTAATTTTGTTTTTTCCAGTGGAAAAAAACGCAATATTTTTATAATAAATAAATATTTTGTTGAATTATTTATCAACCATTTTGTTGAAATATTTGTTGTCATCGTTTCTGGTAATAGCACGATTTCACATTCATAAAAGTTTTGATCGTTGCTTACAAAAAACTGATCCAAGTGATTTTTGACATTGTCATTTCAAGTAAATGTCTTACAGTTAAAAAAAATTTGTATAGACCGGAACAAGTAATAATCTGAGTGTGCTCAGTCTGGCGAATATAGTCAGTGTGATAGCAGGTCCCATCTAACAAGTAAGTTATAACAGTTTCTGACAAGTTACCAAACTTGTCTGAAATTTGACATTATTGTGGTAAAACACTACAGCTGTTTTTTTTATCAATTCCAGCCGGCTTTTTCTGCTTGATGATATTACGCAATTTGTTTACTCAAATGCAGTACACTTTCGAATCAATTGTTAAATTGTCTGGTAAAAGCTCCAAAAAAAAAATTTCCTTAATATCCCACCAAATAGAGCATTTCTCTTTAAGAACTCGTGGAATTCATATATCGAGCTTTGAAACGAAACCAATTTGTTTCAAGTAATCATAAACAGTTCAATTTGACAAATTTAATCTCTTAGTGATTTCACGTGTTGTTATTTGGCAGTTTGCTTCAATCGGTACCTTTTATTTTGTTTTCATTGGCTTCAATTGGCCATCCAATTGAAGCCAATGAAAACAATACTGAAATGCGAGAACAAAATTTTGTAAACCAGTTTTGGCACTGTCGTTCTGTCAACAGATCTCTACCATACATATCACATGATTTTTTCTCGCTTGAATGGTATTTTTATTTTTTTGGTAATAAAAAAGCAAAATATGTCGAAAATGCTGCTTTCGATCTTCCATATTTGATGAGACACAAAAATTGAACAGTTGCACAAAATCAAACAAAATTTTTTACAAATAAGCCTTAAAATGCTAGCTGTCAAAATATATAATGATAATACGGTTTATAATGAAAATGGCAGAAAAAATACGACTAATTCGTAAGTGGTAAAAAAAACGATATTACTTTCCGAACAACCCAATAGATATAANAAAAAACTGATCCAAGTGATTTTTGACATTGTCATTTCAAGTAAATGTCTTACAGTTAAAAAAAATTTGTATAGACCGGAACAAGTAATAATCTGAGTGTGCTCAGTCTGGCGAATATAGTCAGTGTGATAGCAGGTCCCATCTAACAAGTAAGTTATAACAGTTTCTGACAAGTTACCAAACTTGTCTGAAATTTGACATTATTGTGGTAAAACACTACAGCTGTTTTTTTTATCAATTCCAGCCGGCTTTTTCTGCTTGATGATATTACGCAATTTGTTTACTCAAATGCAGTACACTTTCGAATCAATTGTTAAATTGTCTGGTAAAAGCTCCAAAAAAAAAATTTCCTTAATATCCCACCAAATAGAGCATTTCTCTTTAAGAACTCGTGGAATTCATATATCGAGCTTTGAAACGAAACCAATTTGTTTCAAGTAATCATAAACAGTTCAATTTGACAAATTTAATCTCTTAGTGATTTCACGTGTTGTTATTTGGCAGTTTGCTTCAATCGGTACCTTTTATTTTGTTTTCATTGGCTTCAATTGGCCATCCAATTGAAGCCAATGAAAACAATACTGAAATGCGAGAACAAAATTTTGTAAACCAGTTTTGGCACTGTCGTTCTGTCAACAGATCTCTACCATACATATCACATGATTTTTTCTCGCTTGAATGGTATTTTTATTTTTTTGGTAATAAAAAAGCAAAATATGTCGAAAATGCTGCTTTCGATCTTCCATATTTGATGAGACACAAAAATTGAACAGTTGCACAAAATCAAACAAAATTTTTTACAAATAAGCCTTAAAATGCTAGCTGTCAAAATATATAATGATAATACGGTTTATAATGAAAATGGCAGAAAAAATACGACTAATTCGTAAGTGGTAAAAAAAACGATATTACTTTCCGAACAACCCAATAGATATAAATATTATATGTAGATATAAATTATTAACCTTATATTATATTTTTTAGAACACTTGCTCAATATTTAGGACAGTTAAAAAGGCCTTTGGGAGAACATGAAATTTTAATATTGTTTCAACAGATTGTTTCAGCCATTTGCCATATGCATGAACATAATATTTTACATAGGTATGATGTATATAAAAGAAAATAATATTTCCAAATAGAATTAATAATATATTATTGGAAACTGAAGTTTTCTGTCTTATGAAATCCTTTTAATTATACATATATTTAACAGATAAGTAATAATATATACATTTTTATAAATTTGAAATATCATATATCTTTTCCTATAACAACCTATAAATTTGAAATATCATATGTCTTTTCCTATAAAATACCATGGAATGTTTTTCAGTCATTATATTTATTTTATTAAAAATGTTAAGTATGCCAAGCATATTTTTGAGTTTTAGATTAAACTGACTAACATCTTCAAGAAAAACTGTATGTAAAAATTGTGACTTGAAATAGACATCATTATCAGTACAATTATTATTAATTGCAGATTTTAATTTAGAAAACTCTTCTTTTCCTGATTCTTCTAACTTGTTTAATCACTTAAATTATAAACAAGTGGTAACATCATCTGTTAATAATTAAATTATCATAATCTGTTGATAATTAAATAATTCACTAACCAGTGTATAACTAAATATAGTTTAGAAATCATTAAAGTAGGCTGTTAATACAAAAATTTTCAGCACATATCCAAATAAAATCATAATGTGAAAGAAATAACATATACAAACAATATATCATTTTTTATAAATTATTTTTAACTATGATTTTATTTGTAGTCAACAATTAAAATTTTATTTCAAAATTTACATTTATTTGCATTTTTTCTTTTGTTATGATATAAGTATTTTGAAAGAAATTTAATGAAAATTGTTGTTCTTTATTTTGACATATTTCTGATTTCTTTAGATAATCAATAAGAAGATGGATTAAAAAGTTTAGCTTTTATGAAAAAAAATAAATGTTTACAATGCTACTTCTTTCCAAGGTGTTCAGTTTGATAAAAATTTGATGCTAGAAATAGGTTCAGAAATTTTTAAATTTTATTTTNACATATTATCGTAATAATGACTTGGTAGTAAAGATTCTAATCATTTAGTTTTCTGAAATCATTTCAGAAAATTGTCATAAGTTATATAAACTTGCAACATTGTTTTTGCACTCCTGGCAGAAAATATAACTACTATGTCTGGTGGTATTTGTCTGTAATGGCATAGTACAAAAATTCAATATTAATCTGATTTGAGTTGTTCAATCTTTAAACATCCATAAATGAAGTAATTAAAATTATTATAATCTAGTTATTATATATGCCTTATCTCTACTAATGTAGCATCAGAAAGATTTCTTCTAAAACTTGCATCATTGTATCAACAAGAAGTTATTTCAAAAAAATAAAAGCTATAAACTTATTTTGTTATCAAGTGTTAACAGAGAATTTTGGAACTGATCTTTAAACAAAACATTTTGTTATTATACACTATTAAATTGTAATTATTGGTAAATCATTAAAATTGAAGAGAAAGATCAGTCAAGTATTGTTTTTAGTCACACTATTATATGAAGAAGAATCAAAAAGTTAGTTGCACTTACACAAAAAATAAAAGTACATACATGAAGTGAACACATGGGGCAAATTCTAATATTTGATGAGACTATGTCTCGCCTCTAAAATTGCACTGCTGTCAAAGCTGCACATCTTTCATATCTTAGAGATATGAATGTACAGTACATGTTAGGAGTTGCAATTTGGCACAGAGTATTTGGTGCCTAAATCATGCACACATACAATAAACCAGACTTGTAGGTAGTCAGGGGACCGAGAACTGGGTCAAAATAAAATACAAAATGCTGAGACTGTTTCTACAAACAGGCATGAGTGTGAGATTTATGCATGCATTACTTGCACTCTCCGAGACAGTCTCATCCCAAGAATGGCTTCATCATTTTACTTGTTTGAGTATAAAATGTGAGAGCTACTTTTCAACATAATCACCAAATTTAAACACTTAGCACAGTGTGGTATGAGTTTTGCTATTCCTTTTTTGAAAATTATTGCCCAATGTATGATAATGTGTAAACTTGGGTTAGTGCAAATTATTTAATTAGTAAAAACCTGATTTAATTTTATAATTTTTGTTTTGTCAAAAACCCATAAAGAAGAAAAGTTCCATGTCATAGATACAATTAAGGAACTTTATAAACTTTTCCCACAGATAGTACTTCCTCCATGAATAACACAGCTACTGAATAACTACTCATCGACAGAAATAGAGACAAAATCGCGATTGAAGTAATCAGCAACTTCACCAAAAATGGGCATTAGAATGGCCGGGGAGGACCCTGAATAAAAGGAAAGAAACAGATGATGACCAAGAGTTCGTCTGTCAAAGTTTGTGTGTGCTTATCCCCGCCATGCTTCACCACAGATCTTCTTGACCTCCAGCTGTTGACTGGACCTTAGCCACTCTGAACTAATGAACACTCGAATGAAACCCATTGTGAATATTACTATTATGATCTGTTGGATTCAAGACACACAATAACAAGTGGGATTTTCCCACTTGTTATTGTGTGTCTTGAATCCAACAGATCATAATAGTAATATTCACAATGGGTTTCATTCGAGTGTTCATTAGTTCAGAGTGGCTAAGGTCCAGTCAACAGCTGGAGGTCAAGAAGATCTGTGGTGAAGCATGGCGGGGATAAGCACACACAAACTTTGACAGACGAACTCTTGGTCATCATCTGTTTCTTTCCTTTTATTCAGGGTCCTCCCCGGCCATTCTAATGCCCATTTTTGGTGAAGTTGCTGATTACTTCAATCGCGATTTTGTCTCTATTTCTGTCGATGAGTAGTTATTCAGTAGCTGTGTTATTCATGGAGGAAGTACTATCTGTGGGAAAAGTTTATAAAGTTCCTTAATTGTATCTATGACATGGAACTTTTCTTCTTTATGGGTTTTTGACAAAACAAAAATTATAAAATTAAATCAGGTTTTTACTAATTAAATAATTTGCACTAACCCAAGTTTACACATTATCATACATTGGGCAATAATTTTCAAAAAAGGAATAGCAAAACTCATACCACACTGTGCTAAGTGTTTAAATTTGGTGATTATGTTGAAAAGTAGCTCTCACATTTTATACTCAAACAAGTAAAATGATGAAGCCATTCTTGGGATGAGACTGTCTCGGAGAGTGCAAGTAATGCATGCATAAATCTCACACTCATGCCTGTTTGTAGAAACAGTCTCAGCATTTTGTATTTTATTTTGACCCAGTTCTCGGTCCCCTGACTACCTACAAGTCTGGTTTATTGTATGTGTGCATGATTTAGGCACCAAATACTCTGTGCCAAATTGCAACTCCTAACATGTACTGTACATTCATATCTCTAAGATATGAAAGATGTGCAGCTTTGACAGCAGTGCAATTTTAGAGGCGAGACATAGTCTCATCAAATATTAGAATTTGCCCCATGTGTTCACTTCATGTATGTACTTTTATTTTTTGTGTAAGTGCAACTAACTTTTTGATTCTTCTTCATATAATAGTGTGACTAAAAACAATACTTGACTGATCTTTCTCTTCAATTTTAATGATTTACCAATAATTACAATTTAATAGTGTATAATAACAAAATGTTTTGTTTAAAGATCAGTTCCAAAATTCTCTGTTAACACTTGATAACAAAATAAGTTTATAGCTTTTATTTTTTTGAAATAACTTCTTGTTGATACAATGATGCAAGTTTTAGAAGAAATCTTTCTGATGCTACATTAGTAGAGATAAGGCATATATAATAACTAGATTATAATAATTTTAATTACTTCATTTATGGATGTTTAAAGATTGAACAACTCAAATCAGATTAATATTGAATTTTTGTACTATGCCATTACAGACAAATACCACCAGACATAGTAGTTATATTTTCTGCCAGGAGTGCAAAAACAATGTTGCAAGTTTATATAACTTATGACAATTTTCTGAAATGATTTCAGAAAACTAAATGATTAGAATCTTTACTACCAAGTCATTATTACGATAATATGTAAATTTAGGTTTATAATTATATATGCATAACAAATGGCTATTGCAACAGTTAACATGTTGTTAAATTGTCATGCACTCTTTATAGCTCAGTATGTAAAGAATTGGAAGCTATATTTAACATCTTATTTAAGTGAGTTTTGTTTTGCGTTTAGAAATACTCATTAACTCTACTAATTGCAACTGAATTTGCAGAAAAATTAGCAAAATTTTTAATCATGGGATCAGAACTTACTATTCTGATCCTATGTTTAAAAATTTAGTTTAAAAATAGTAAGTTTAGACTATATTGTATTTCCATGCATATTTTTTTGCAATTTTTTGTCATTTTTTACTAATCAAAAATTGAGATGCAAAAAATATGCAAATTATTTTTGAAGGTAAACTATATCAGTATTTATTCTTACAAGAAATCTTGATTAATTAACAGAAGTCAAAAATTTATAAGATAATTTTAATATTTTAAAAACTTTGCATATATATTCTGAATATTTTGAATTCTCACATTAAACAGTATGCAACCATGTTTGACAGGTGTGTAAAGATCAGTCCTCTTCATAAATTTGCTGACCCATCCTCAACTAGCCTTAAACTCAAGGGAAGAAATATTTTGTGTCTGAGCAATATTACAAACCTATGATTGTAACATATCACATGTTACAGCACTGTTGTTGTTGTGCATTTCTTGAACATACCATAACAGTTCTTCCTCAAGTTGGGGATACTTTCCAGTCTTAGGACTATGAAGTGCCCTCACATTCGACTTTGCATTGCTTAGAGCTTCTTTTTGTTTATGCCAGTAGTGAACACTGACAAGTGCCTCCTCACTGACAGCAAATTTTCATTTGGTCTCTCAATTTCCATTCTGTTCTGCAAAGCAGATGACTTTAATTTTATACTGTACAGTAAAACTGTTATTGTTTCTTGCCATTGCACAAAGTTGCAGTTAACTCCATTGAAATGACACTAAGGAGCTACTAAAGTGCTATAAAGCATCATAATTAACAACTGCCCTTATTCCTCACCCTCATAGCCTCCAGCAAGTACAAAGATACTATATTGTTAAACCTTTACAAAAAAATGAGGGTAAACAAAGTTTACCCTTCTTCCCTTTTATAGGTTTTATATACTATATACTGTAAAAATTTTTGTAGGCTGATGCATGTTCTATCTCATATAGTAAACAGTTCAGTATGAAAAGTCTTGCATTTTTCACATGAAAAATACTTGAATATTTTGTTTTCATGGAAAACATTTCTTAGAAATATGAGTGTGAAAAATATGAGGTGGCTAAAAATATGTGTGGAAATACAGTAAATGATACTTTTTGATGTTCTTAAAATAATGTTCAATATTTGAAAGCATCTGCATTTTGAATTTTTTCTAGCATTTGACTCATAACTGTTCTTAAGCAATTAACATATGATAAAAATTTTATTGTTAACTACATAAATTTCAACTGATACTCTTTGTTTGTAATATTTTAATAATTATCTTGTACATTTGGTTTGAATGTTGTAATAATTTGTTAAATTCAATCTAAGTAGTATTTTTTACCTGATAAAAATTTTATCTCAAAAGTAAATTAGTTTCCTATAAAAGATTTTAAATTATTTTTTATTTGGATTATTACAGAAGGAATATGAAGACAATATCTTTAATTTTTAACATTAGTTTAATTGGTATGATTTTTACAAGTATTTGATGTGTTTTTTTTTTTATTCTAGTGTGAAGGAAAACCCTATAATGAGAAATCTGATATATGGGCTCTTGGATGCATATTATATGAAATGGCTTGTTTACAGAAAACTTTTGAAGGATCTAATCTTCCTGCTTTAGTTAACAAAATTGTCAAGGTAACTCATTAAGATAATTTTCTTTTAAAAATATGAAATTTTTTGGATTCTTTGTGGTGTTCAAATTTAACTGCAAAATATAACTCATATGTATATATTTTTATATAGGGTCAGTTTGCTCCAGTTCGTGGAAATTATTCACTTGGATTTAAAAAATTAATTCAAGAGCTTCTACAAAGAGATCCTGAATATAGACCTACAGCTAAAGAACTACTAAATGCTAGAATACCAGAGGTATTTATCAGATTTACTGTTTTAAATATTGATTTATATAAATAATTTGTTTATATTTAATAAATTAATTTTTTATAAAGATATTTTGAAAAAAAAGGAAATTAGTGAATATTTATCAAATTATGTTTATGAAAAGCAAACTTCTTTTTTATTATTTTATATTTAATCATGCAATGTTTGTAATAATATTTTTCTTTTGAATAATGCTTAGAATGGTTTTGCATACAAAATTACCCTAACTAATAGAAATCTTAGAAGAGTCTGCACATTACCTTTATAATAGAAAGTATAATTATCATTTGTAATACTAAGTGAAATTTGTTTTAATAAAAGAACAAAACCAAAAATATACTAAAAAAAATACTTTTGTATAATTAAATATTGGCTTTTTCAGTTAGAATAATTGAACAAGAACTGTTTATAGAACAAAGTTTAAATTTACAAATTTCAACTTGTTCCAGATTATAACAACAAATTAATTTTATGCTGTTACTAATTCATTCTTTTTCATTTCATTCATTTTATTTGGGACAAAAATTTCACCTGGTTCTGCATAGCATTACTGGCCAATGGCTGATCCATTGAGGATGAGAGGTTACACAGGTTGTGTATGAACATATTATACATGCATTTCACATATATACAGAGATTATATTGGCAAACAACAGAGTTATTACAATTATCAAAGGATACTAGTGTCTAAATTAATATTATATCTTACAGAGCATGAAAGTTTTGCAGATGCATAATGGTGTAAACACAAAAACTAATCAATACAAAATTATTACAGCATTGTAGCCAATCTATAATATAATCGAGACGGGTTGATAATAATAATAATAATATGGAAGTTTGTAACAATGGAAGTTTTAAGTAACAATGGAAGTTTTATGTAACAATGGAAGTTTTAAGTAACAATGGAATTGTTAAGAGAAAGCGACGTGCAAGATTTACAGGCGCAGATGCAGTTTTTTCGTTTTTGCGGGAAATCGAACATATTTTTAGAACCATCTAAAAATTCTCTAATTAGTCTGGAAACAAGGGGACCCAATTCTTGCATTCTGTGAAAACGGGTAAGGTTGACTGTAACGTAATAATCTTTATCTTAGTTATCGTTACTTTTGCCCAAGCAACGCCAGGCCCACCTGCTAGTTTACAGATAAGGGAATGGGTTAATAATGTATAATAAAAGTGCATATTGTATAGTACAGAAAACAAAATACAATAAAATCAGTCATATGGATATAATATAAAGTAAGATGAGATGAAGTAATATAAATATATAAGATAACAAGTGTGTATACAGAAAATGTAATATACCAAACCGATGTATATTCACAATCAAGGAGTAGCTATTAATAATTCAATGATTTTATACTTTACATAATAAATACTTTATCCTGCAATAATTTTAAAAAATATTTCACTTTATAGAAATATTTAGATGGTGACCAAATTTATTTTAAAGTTTTTAGGAAAGTAATTAATACATTATTAAGGTTGAGAGTTGGCTGGTTGATAGTAATTGAATTTAATATAATTATAGTTTTAGTTTAGTTAAGGAAACAGCTTTACTGGATTCTTTATAACCTGTAGGAGTTCCACTGAATCCCAAGAAAATGTTATGAACTTTGGTCAGATAAAAGGCCATCAATTTGTTATAGATTTTCTGTGAAGTGCATCTGTTTTATGTTTCAAAATTCTCAACTTTAATGCTCTAGTTATGGCACAAGTGTAACAAAAAACTCTGTTGTTGCATATTAATGGAATCTTATATGATCCTTATACATCTGTTTTGTTCCAAGACCCTCTATCTATGATTCTTCTTAGAGATGGCAAGTTGGTTATTGTCAGATAAATTATGAGAAATATTGTTTTTAAGAATAATAGAGGGCAAGTTTTAGCTCTTACATATGTATATCGAAAGTTGGATCTAGAAAATATCTGTTTTTGATGGACTTAAGTGTGATATAGAAAAAAGCAAACTATGCACTTGGTTATATGTTTTGTAGAATATTCTCATCATATTCAGCTGCTAACACATTGTGTTTGATGTTATTCAACTCCAGTTGTAGAAAATGGTTAATAGAAGAGAAATGTTTTGATGTGCAGTCATATGGTTACTAACAGATAAGGCTTATGTCCTTTTTCCTGTAGATGGAACATAGTATTATTGGTCAGGTTTGAGTAGTCACAACTATTAGTAAAATCTCAGTGTTGTATAAATTTGGAATGGAGAGTGACAAATCTCATTTGCATTATACATATCAAACATAGATATCCCCGTATAACATAGATTCTGAAAAAGTGCTGTGTTATGCGAATCCATGCTATATGAAACAAAGGACTAGTACAAATCATAAGATTAGGTTTCAAATTAAAATTATTGCACATTAATATTAATTTTTTCTTCACTGCTAAACACTTAAATGAGGACATTTTCTTTTTGTCAAAATATTGTCTTTTGAGCTCTCCTATTGGTCTTAATCTGAAGTATCAGCAACATTTTGATTTTTCTCTACTTTTTCAAACAATTTGATATCTTCATTTGCTTGCATTTGCCTAAGAGATCGTTAAAAATTTAATCTTTTAATGTAGTAACTTTTAATTTAATGTATAAAAACAAAACACAGAAACAGCCTTTTGGGTTCATTTAAAGTGTTATCACCAATGACAGCAACATCTAGTTTATAGGAAAGCTAGAATAGGAAGCTAGAAGAAAGAAGAAAAATTGTACAATCAGTTTTCATTAAATAAAATTGGGCAACTCTTTTTCATTAAATAAAATTGTGTCACTCTTCTCCCCCTCTCCTTCTTGGGCTGCAATTTTTTCAAAACATGAATTTAAAATTTTTTCAAGACATGAAACAACATTGAAAATTTCAGTATTGTAAAATCCATGGGCAAATGTGAGATGACACACATACTTGCTTGAATAAAAAAATATGTAATCACAGTGTCTGCATTTAAAAATTGTGACTTTTGTACAGGGATGTCTCCAATTCTTGAACCATGTTAGAACAAAACCATGTTATAGGAATGCTGTGTTGTACAAAGGATAACTGTAGTTTATTAGAAACTAGATAAATTTTAACAAATATTATAAGTATAAATATATATAAACATATAAATGGTTATAAATGGTATAAATGGCTATGCCAATTAGTTCTAGATTAACATCTTGTAGTAGAAATCTCTTAGTGTCCAACATTGCATGTGTGCATATAAATGTTATCTCTTACCTGATTCAATAGTTATAGATCCAATGCTAAATAAGTGTAGTGATTTATTCAACTGTTTATCACTAAAAATGAGATGTGATGAAAACTACAGAAACATTTTTGATTTGATGACTAACTACCAAAAATTTTTCGGATTTTTTTCTTTTTTCTTGAATTCCCTTCTTATACCCATTTCCTCATTCAGTAAGGGAGGATTCTAATCCATCTTTCCAATTAAATTTTTACTCTTTATTTTCTTTGGAGGAAGAAGATAGCTGAAAAGTTGTTTTCTTGCAGGAACATCTTTCACTTAGGAATGGATATATAACAGTTGGATTTGGTTATTTTATTGTGCCTTAATGAACAAAATTGTTTGATAAATATTTTATTTTAAAAGGCATTAAAAAATTTTTGGATTTTTACACTTATATTGAAATTATGCTACTGCTAGAAAGATGAGTGGAACTGTAGGCAGTGATAAACACTAAAAAATAATCTTGGATGTCCTCTACTTATATATTGGTTTAGAAAATTTATGCTGTAAATCTTTTTCTGTACTAAAATTAATGTAGTATATTACTTTCCTAGCATAAATCAATAAGAATTTAGCTACTAAGAAAGCAGTAAATTACATTGTAATTTTCAAATGATATTTAAACTTTGAATCTTACTGCTAAATAGAATTTTTCCTGATTAAAATTTGTCGTCTTCATTTCACAGAAGCAGAAATCTGAGAGAAAAATCAAAATTTCCTAAAAGGAAATAACAAACAATTATTTATTGTTACATCGTCACAATTCCAGGCTGCAATTTTTAATTATATTTTTAAAATTTTTTAAATTTAAAATATGTGCTCTCTGCCTCAAATTAGTAATGTCTTGCCTCTGTACATTATACTTTTCCTGTTAGCAATTGAGTCGTGCTGGTCATCCATCTAACAGCTTTCAGGGGAAAATTTTTGAACTGAAATAACCTGACTTATGGTTTGTATTGGAAGGTTGTATATAGTTAATCAGGGCCTCCTGCCTCTAGTCTTTCCATATCTGGTCTTGGCTTTCATCTATCTAATTTTGTTCTTGAGATTAAGGAAGGACAGATGGACAACAGTGGAAATTTAAAGAATTTCATTTTGAAAAAATTGCAGCCCAAGAAGGAGAGGGGGAAAAAGAGTGACACAATGATAATCAGCATTTTACCTTTGTAATGTCCATTTATCAGACTGAAGGACTGTCTCTTAAGATTGTAGCATTACCCTAAATACACTTTGTTTTCCCACAGCTTTTTACATGGTATGGTATGTTAAAGACTGGGAAATGGAAATAGTTTGAATATCTTTTCACCTTTAGTTTCAAAACTAAAAATTTAATCTAAACTGTGTAGGTATCTGTTTAAAAATAAATTTTTTTATCATATAATAAAATATTTAAACAAAAATTTTGTCAGGAATATAACATCAAACTTTCTGGGCAATGCTGGGTATCTCTGCTAATTGTCTAATAAATGATAAATAAAAAATAATAAAATTATTAAGTGAATAGTTAAATTGTCAGTTTATGATTTTAGGCAAATTATTAAACAGCTGTTATTCATTAATTAAAATTTTAAAACTGTTAAAATAATTTTATTGTCTATTTATATATTTAATAATAAATAATGTAACAAGAATATAATATAGTTAAGATTAAATATGATGATTGATAATAAATAAAATAATTGTTTTTGTTCATTTTATATTTAGTTACTGAAACAGTTTGAAAAATTTTCACACAAATATGATGATGAGAATGAAGAATTATCAATAAGATCCAAATTTCCAATTAAATCCAGCAGCAATAAAAAGTATGAACAATTTTATTTCTTAATGAATTGTTTATAATTAAAATATTTAAAGATTAATTTAAACATTATGTAATTTAAGATTTTGAGACATACAGTATTTTCAAATTTGTTGATATTGCCAATGAAGATAATGTAATCTCTTAAACACTTATAGATCATTTATCTATGAAAATTACATTAATACATTAATTTTATATATTTTCATTTTAAAATTACATATTATAAAATATTTTATTTATATAAAAGAAAATTAGTTTATCAGCAAAATACATTATTTGAAAATGACTCAATTCTATAAATTTGGAAAGGCTTATTAATTAAAATACTGAAATATATTATTTAAATTAATAAACATCATGTGTACAGTTGAATTTAATTCCTTTTATGAAGTTTTATATACAGGTAATCCTTGTTTAACATGGTAGTTAGGTTCTATAAAATATTGTAATTCAAGAATGGGACTAATGGGACTAGTATGAAAAGGAAAATTATATTCAAAAGCAATAAAAATACATCATTTTATTTTTTATACCTATTGGAAAATTAACTTATATTAAAAATAATAATAATTGAACACATGTCTTACAAACTGTGATAATATATGTTCATTTAATTTTCTTTCTCTTTATTGCTGCTAAGCACAATTAAACAAGAATGATTTTTTATTGCAAAGTATTTTTATCTTCTGAACTTCATTTTACAGTATTTAGTGCATCTTCTGCTCTCTTTAAAAAAATCAGTAATTTAGATTTGTGTAGTTTTTCTTCATACATCTTTGTAAATATGGAATAAGTATATTTGGATTTTATTTTAAATTTTCCTTTCCTTTTCCTTTAAATCCTTTAAATTCCTTAAATCAAAAGATCTGCATTCAAAAAATAAGACACTAATTGCTTGATCAGATTCATGCCTTCTTGTATGCTTTTAGTATAAAATTTGGAACTTTGGAATTTTCATTTGCTGAATTGATTTGGTTTACCTCTGTTGTCATTTCCATCAAATTCACTTCATTATCTCCTTTTTCTATTAGTAATTTTTGAATGTTTTTAATAGTCACATCATCAAACCCTACTCCTCCTACAAACTTAGCAAATAGAATTTGCTAAGTTTGTAGGAGGAGAAGGGTTTTGCTATTATAACGCTGATTCTGGCCATATACTTTTTGTGACAAGTTTTTAATGTTAAATGCTTTTTTCTTTGAGAATAAACCTATGGTTTCAATTCAGTTCACAGTTGAAAAATATTTCATGCTCCATCACTTTAATAGATCCAGAATTAATTTTTTTTTAAATCTCTTATGACAGTTTCCTGATGTAATTATGAGGTCCATTCTCTTTTCTTATGCAGTAATTTCCAGTCCTAAGCAGTCAGCCTATGTGAACCGCATTTAATTATTTTAATATCTTTTTTGAAAGGGTGAACATTATATAAGTTCCAACAGAGTGGTTACACACACAATTTAGTCAATAATATATTTGTTTTCTTGGGCTTTTATCAGCAATTTCTGTTTGGTGCTTAGTCCAAATTTAGGAAGAGGTTTTGTTTTTCCCCAAAGAGATTCAAAATACTGAATAATCTATGTAATCAGAGTTGGGATGAGTTTATTGAAAATTTTAATGGAAATATATCAGTGTATGTTCTTGGTACCTTTCCTTTGGAATGGTTCTGGAATAATAAAAATCCAAACAAATTATTATTTTTTTTGATTTCTATTATTCAAATTTTATTTTATATAAAAAAAATTAATAAAGTTTGAATTTAAAGTCTACAATTTTATGATTTAGTGAATATTTTTGACTTCACATAATGAGGTAAAGATTTTAAAGGTAGATATAATGCCGTGATTAAAAAAAAAGCAAAAATATTGAAAAAAAATTACATTAAACAAAAAATATCAGTGAACTATCTACACAAAAATTCAAAAATAGTGTTATGTGAAGTTGCCTTAATTTTCTAAACATGTTTTATATAAGTATTGTCTTGTGTGAAAGTTGCCACATTTCTGTAATCATGATACAGTGAAAATGTTTTGTAGCAGTACCATGTTATATAAAGGTTATCTTTATTTTTATTTAAGTGTGGTTATATAATATAGATTCAATTATAGCTTATTTAAATTTAAATTTTTGTGGAATAACTAAAAAGTTTTATTAATATGTTTTGCTTACAGTATCTTGAAGCAGCCCCGGTAAGTTTTAAATTTAAAATATTTAAATTTATTCTNATTGGGGACTGGGGTTGGTCGGATAATTGAAAAGTCAGATAACCAAAAAGTATGAAAAAATCCATTATTAGTGTAGTATATTATTATATCCCATGTAAGTAGTATATTAATATATCGCTATTAACCTACTTCGCGTAACTTTTCTTAATTATAGACAGTAGACTGTAATGATTGGTTTAAAACTATGTGTGGAGAGCTAAAAATGTAATTTTTTTATAGTTAAATTATAAATATAAATATAAGTATGAGAAAGTATTTTTTGGACAGATCGATTTTTTTCACTTACTATGGAAAGTTATTTATTATATGTATACAGTAAAGTTCTACAAACTTGATTTAATATGGACTGAGAAATTGATGAATTATTGAAAGTAATGAGTTTTACGTTATAGTGATGATGCTACTCTAAATAATAGAATTTTCATAAACATATATGTGCAAATTCATATACATATTAACAATGTACCATTAGTGAGTATTTCTATTTGTAGTTAAATTTTAACTTAAAAAAAATAATGGTTATTTAGTAACTACCTTTAAGTTAATGACACTCACTTTGTGGCCTTTTGCTTTGACATCTTGGAAAAAGGGTTATATTCTTTGGGTACGTTCGTAAAGTCGAACGAGTTAAACGAGAATGACGTCATTGTTATTCTTATTTCGTTAGACTTTTTGAATGATTCGTTTAGAACTAAATGGCTATTTCTAAAATCGAAGATACAAATGCTGCTAGTACAGCCTTATCCGAAATATTTTTCTTAGATTGCTTCGGGTGGACAGTTACTCCAATCATTTCATCTTTTAATTCACAATTTAAACACTCGAGTAGATTTAGAAACATTGATATCGTTGGGCACCATTTTCTTAACGAAGTAAACTAACTCTTTCCTTCGTGAACTTTGTTAGAGTTTCGTTCGAAACGTCATCACCGCAGAGCATGCGCACTGAGCGAGACTACTAGTATTCGAACGATTCGTTATTAACGCATTTAACTCGTTTGACTTTACGAACGTACCCTTTGTTGACACAGAATTAATGCTAATATCAAGTGTTGCCAGAGAAGAATGACAGATCCTAGTGTTAAGTTAGAGGTAAAAATTAGATTGCATGTATTTTTTTGAATGACATGACAAGTTTTATGGAATGTCAAATTATTGAGAGTTGAGTTTCTGGGATTCCACTGTATATAAATAATTAACATTAAATAATAATTTATTTAAATTATTATATACAATTTATTGTAGGTGTATGTATGTATGTATGTATGTATGTAAAGGGTGATTCAAAAAGAACATAAACTTTGAAAGCATGTAAAATTTTAATTTGGACTTACAAAATCAGTTTCGATGTTAATTTGTAGCAAAACACATGAAGTTTGTCTTAGGTAGTGCAGAAATGTATGAGAAATCTTCAGTTATGAGTCAATATTTCATCTCAGTGGTAAAGCAGACACTCACAACTGCAGGATTTGGAACTTTCAATTCAAAAAACATTTGTGGAACATGTTTGTGACTGTCTAAAAGTGAATATGTTTTCTACTATTAGCAGAGGTAAAGTGTATGGTCCTTTATCCATGAGAGAACCATCAACAATATTGTTATATCTGAATATGCTAGAAATTTTTTATTTCACAGTTAAGTGACTATGAAAAAGAAGGAAGCATGCACTTTTAGCAAGACAGGTGCATCACTCCACTACCATACAGATGTCCAAAATTTCTTTAATAAATACTTCCTTGCTTGGCCAAGACGGCCATATTATTGGCCTGCTTGGCCAATAATATGGCCGTCTTGTTTCTGAGATTTGACACATTTCAATTTTTTTTTCTGGCGTTTCACTAAAGATTTAGTGTTTATTCCATCCTTGCCTGCAAATCTAGCTGATCACAATACTCAAATCACCATCACCATTGAAGTTACTGAAATGATAATAAATGTGCTGCTTTGAGTTTAGCAAGAAATTGAATTCAGGTGAGATGTCTATTGAATTAATGGTATTCACATAAAACAAAATGATTGTTTAAGGTAATATTTCATTTGTTTTGTTATAAATTAACACATCAACTGATTATGTAAATATTCTCATCAAAATCTTATATGCTTAATGAAAGTTTTTGTTTTTGAGCTTTCCACTTTGTGGGCACTAAGAGGTCCTGTTTAATCAATCCCATTATGGATTTGGCCAGGCCCACAATAGAGAGGCTGGGTGGTGTAGGACAGACCTGACAAATACACCATTCCCAAAAAATTCTACAAATTTTTTGATTTGTCCAGATTCAATCCTGGGTCACCCAGAGCAGTAGACTGTCACCCTAACCACTCACTCATCTGTCTGTCTATACTTTTAAAATTGTAAAGTCTATTTTGAATCATGCTGTAAATGTAAAAATTAACATATTTTAAATTTATTTAGAACAGTACTTTATCAAGTTAAAATGCATGAAATGGATATTTCTTTAACACCTATTTTATTACCTCCACAAAGCAGAATTAAAGAGGTCTGTATTCATTTGTATCTGTTATACTTAATTTTCATATATATTTAAAAAATATAAATTCATAATTTAGTAGACATAAAACATTATCTTAAATTAAAATCATTATTAAATCAATGGCAGTTATTTCAGTAATTAATGAGTTGCAAATAAAAATAAGCATTTAATGAATAAATATCATAATTTATTGATTTTTGCATGTAATGAAATTTGAAATTAATAAGTTTTAATTTTTCTTCCAGGTAGCTTTGAGTACTACCCATACAATAGCTTTAACATATGATCTTTTGGCTTATACATGGGGTGATGGTAGGAAAGGTCAACTTGGACATGGTATGCTAGAAATTTGGAGACATAAACCACAATGTGTTGATGCTCTTAAAGGAAAAAATATCATCAAGTAATTTTGTATATGCAATCATTCATAATTTTATTATTTAATGTAAAACTATTCAAACTATTCTGCTCCATCTTCTAAATACAAAAAACAGACTGCTTTATTCAGAAAATGTTTATATGCAGATTCAGAACCAAGTGCTTTTGCTGAATGTTCTCTGAATGAAAATTTTCTGAATACGCAGTCCATTTTTTGTACTTACAACTGTTCCATATTAAATTAATTGAACGAAATCAGTTAATGTAGTTTAACATATATATAATTTATAACTTAGCTGTAGCAATCTTGCCTCTCAATTAATAAAAATATAGCTATGTATTTGGCTGTTAGTTTAGGACTTATCACACCATGTATTTTAGGAAACTTGATGTGGACTATTTTTTATTAAATTCTAACTCCAATATGTACATTCAGGTTTTCCTCCTCTTCAGTTGAAGTACAGTAGAGCATCGATTATTCGACTCAATTGGGGACTGGGGTTGGTCGGATAATTGAAAAGTCAGATAACCAAAAAGTATGAAAAAATCCATTATTAGTGTAGTATATTATTATATCCCATGTAAGTAGTATATTAATATATCGCTATTAACCTACTTCACGTTGAATTTTCATTGATGTTAAGCCTAACAAAAATTTTTTAAAAATAATAATCGTTGCTATTGTATCATTAAAAATTAGAAAATTAAGCCTCCTTTAAATACTGGCTCCCTTTCATGGTCGATCCAGTGTTGCCAGCTAAAACACGTAAAAATAATATTAAAGTAGCCAAGACATAGCCAAATATTGTAGCGCCACATCACTAGCAGACATTTGAATTTGCCGACTAGAACACGGTCAGTTAACCGAGGTGACGGTTAATCGGGGGGGGGGTTGGATAATCGATGCTCTACTGTAATAAATTTAAAACAATACTGTAAAAGATTGTAAAAGAAATTTAATAAAATGTATTGTTCAAGTAAAATTTCCTAAAAACATAGTATGATAAATCCTAAACTAATAGCTAAATATGTAGTTATATAGGAAAAGATAAAATAGGAAAAAAGGACAAGAAGCTATTATAATAAATAAAAATATAGATATATTTTTTAATAAAAATTCTTTATGGTATTAAATCTATAGTATGTCAAAGGATATCCTTTCAGACTTAAGGACCTAAGTTTTCAGTCAGTTTTTGAGGTTTATAATTGCTTTTAAAAGCTTAAAACTTTTATTATATCTTTTCAGAATAACAAAAACTCTTTCTTTAGTTAAGAATATAGGAAATCATATAAACGATATCTCTCAATATGGATATTAAATAGAACTAACAAATATTTTCATTTTTCATTGTTAAAATCAGCAACTATATCTAATGCATTAAATTTCTTTTTCAACTCAATCTTATTATTTACATTCATCATATTTAAATTTGAGCCACTTCTGACCATAATTGTTGACTTCTTTTCAATAAATATTTCTTCATAAAAATATCATTCACTAAAGAAGACTTTAGAGATTTCTTTAATGAACGGTATTTTTATAAAATGAATTTACTTATAATAATCTATATCAGTGATTCTCAAACTTTTTTGATCTACCGCCCCCTTTGTTCCATAAAGTTATACCCAACGCCCCCTAACCCATTTTCTCTTGTGTGAGAAAAGGATTGGAAATATTCTTAGGAAAACTTTTCTATGAATCTCACACTTTGTGCTCTTACTGTACATTGTTCTCATCATCTGGAAACCATTAAACGCAATGTTTCCTCTTATCAGACCCAGGTGTATGTATGTATGTATGTATGTATGTAAAGGGTGATTCAAAAAGAACATAAACTTTGAAAGCATGTAAAATTTTAATTTGGACTTACAAAATCAGNTAAAATGTTGACATTTTATATATATTCCGTCGAATTTTTATATATAGAATTTGTCTGCCGTCGCCCCTCTATATTTCCTTAACGCCCCCCAATTCTCTTTGAGCCTTCTACTGCCCCCCTGAAAGCCTCCAGCGCCCACAAGGGGGCGTTATCGCCCACTTTGAGAAACGCTGATCTATATTAATTTTTAATACAATTTTATATATTTGTATTGGAAAAAATCTTTATTAAATTAAATGCAACTTGTAAAGCATATAAGCAACCACTTCACTTTTCTACAAATTATCTATCAAATAATCAAACTCATGATTTTTAGTTCTTTCATAAGATTCTATTTATGCTCTGTTACTTGTACATTCTACTACAAAGCAGATTATTTCCAAGAAGATCTATAAACTATTAAATTCTATTTTGAATATGGAATTTATTTTGTATACATAAGATAAAATTGTACATGACTTATGATAACCATTCCCTAAGAAAAACAATACAAAACAACCCATTAAAACACGAAAAACAAACAACAAAAAAATAAAAAACATAAAAAGTGTAATGATGATATATAATGATAAAATATATTTACAAAATTTTTTAAAATGTATTAAAATAAACAGTAATTGGTTAACATTGCCAAACAATATACCACATTTTATCAGACTATATTCTAAGGCTACTTAATAGTCAAAATCAAAACAGTTTGTCTATAGGTAGGTGGTTGGATGATCTCTTGATTAATTTAATAATTAGAAATATATTAATTTTAAAATTTAATTTTTACTCTTCTAGAATAAAAGAATTGACCTACAGCAGGACTTGAATTGGTAATTCCTGTTTGCTTTGCTGTTTCATTGCCAGTTATACTACTCAGACTCCCATTTGTTCCTCTCTTCCAGGGCTACTAATTAATTAATTCAGATATAATCATATTGGTCATTCATAGCTCAATAATATCTAGCAGATTGTCTGGCAATGTTAAAGTATCAGATTGTTGTAATTTATAGTGGTGCCTCATACTTCAAATTTAATTCATTTCAGGAGGCTGAATTGTTCAAAGTCTGAATAAATTTTTTCCATTAGAAATAATGGAAAGTGAATGAATCTGTTTCCAGACCATAAAAAAATCCCATTATGATAAATAATGGGTATTATTTGCAGCAAATACATGTAATTTAAGATAAAAATAACACAATTAAATGCCCTTAATAATAAATTAAAACATGAAAACAATAAATAAAATATATAAATACTATCTAATAAGATGAAAATTTCATTTGTTGGTTGGACACTGTTGACTTTGGTTTCTTAAACGTAGCTGCCAGATCTATCACACATATCAACAACTTTCATGCTTGACAATAAATTCCTTTTTACCTCAATTGTCAATACCGTAACCTTCCTATTAGATTTTGTTGCTTTCACACAATTATTGGATGCCCTAGTTCAGTGTTTTTCAACCTGTGGGTTGCGATCCCCAGGGGGGTCGCAAAGCCTTACACGGGGTCGTGAGTGAAAGAAAAAGATAAGTGTTTGAGATCCTACACTACAATAAAAAAAACTAAAATTTCAGTGAGAAGGCTGTGCCTGTTTATTTTACAGTACAATTTGTTTTTCAATCGATATTTAAAGAAAGAAAATTAAATACATAGTTTTTAAAATCACTGATATAGTTTTAATATGGCCCTGGGAGGTCGCCAGAATTTTTAACTTGTAAAGGGGTCGCATATTCAAGAAGGTTGAAAAACACTGCCCTAGTTAATAGGTATAATCTTTCATAGCGAGATTACTTGGGTGCACAACAGATAGTGTTTATACAGTGAGCACAATTCAAACGTAATTCAATTAAAACATCATTCAAACTCTGGAAAAAATTTCTCTAGAATTTAGCATTTCAAACTCTGGAATTTTCAAAGTTAGAATCATTTGAAGTATGAGGTACTGTACCACTATATATATGTACAGTTGTTTTAGAGGTTTGTGGGCACTAAAGTTGTCCTCTAGTCAGCGCTAGGTTCTAATTTTATATCTAAATTTAATTAATTAATAGCTCTAGAAGAGGGGATCAGATGGGTCTGAGTAATGTAACTGACAATGCAACTGCACAGCAAGCAGGAGCTGCAGGTTTGAATCTCACCCCATGTTGATTCTTTTCTTCCAGAATACTCTAAATTAAATTTAAAAATTATTATATTTCTTATTATTAAATTTATCAAGAAATGTGAGCCTAACTGCCTACCTCTAGACAAATTTCTTTGATTCTGATTATTAAGTAATAGTAAAATATAGCCTGATAAAATGCAGCAATGTTAAAGTATCAGGTTGTAATTTATATATAATTAGTTGATATTATGGCATAAATAAAGCATAATTTTTTACTAAAACTTACCTCTTGATATAAATAAAAATTTATATTAAGTATCTCACTATAAAAACAGATCCAATCAGAACAAAATTTATGTCAGAGAAGATTCTTGAAATAATTCAAATCAGGATTTTTTTCTGCAACTAAGCAGATTTTGCATGTATAGTATTAATTAATGTAGACAATTTTAAATGAAAATTTTAACTGTAAATAGCTTTCTTTGAATTTCCCTTTTCCATGATATATAAAAGTATACATTTTAATTTTACTGTTTTTAACTTGAATATAGTAAAAAACATTTTGGGCTGAGTGTCAAAGGCACAGAATAGTTTAATACACTAAATATTTTTTCCCAATTATTCTATGTTGAAATTAGGGTGCATTTTATATGCCTATGTATCTTATATTTTACATGCTATAAAATATGTAATTATATTCATATAAATAGATAACCATACAATGTTTTTTTTTGTTTACACACAACGGCATTAAGCCAATTTTTTGACATTTTGTTAATAAATTGAAGTCAAAGATGCTAACATCACAAGTTTGCTTTATTTATTTTATTTTTTAAACTGTAAGTTGTAGAAATTTATTTTGTAATGTATTAATTAAAGGAACATTTGCATACAATTTAAAATATTATATAGTATTTTCAAATTTAGTGAATCCTGGCACCATATTGTCAACTATTGAGAAATGATATTGCCTTTTGTGGAAGCCAGTATATTAGTATACAAGTAACATTGTTGACCTGTCTTTGGTTAACATCATCTTATATATATGAATGTTCAAAAATGGAACATTTGTTACAAACTTATTAAAATCAACTAACGACATTTAAATTATAAATCAATAGTATTTACACTTGAAATAAAAGTAACAATAAAAATTGTTTAAATATAAACTAATGTCAAAACATTTTAAATTAATTTTGAAAATAATTTTTGTTTACGCACAACGGCATTAAGCCAATTTTTTGACATTTTGTTAATAAATTGAAACCAAAGATGCTATCATCATCACAAGTGCTAGTTAATAACAAGTAGGGATGAAAACATAGTTAATAAGAATAAAGTGTTAAGAGGAGTTTTTAATAACAGGAAAGGGTTAAATATTTCAAATTATTTAAATTTAGAAATAAAATATGTCTTGAGATTGACTAAAAGTTAGAAGACACTAGTAAAATAAACTTTTGTGTAATGTTTTCTAAACAGTAATTGGATGAACAAAACAGAATTTTACCACCTTAATGAATGTCTTTACTATTAAAATCCATCAAGCTTTTTGGAAGCTCGTCTTTTGTTTGAGTGAGATGGCTGCAGAGGAACATATTTTTATCATATTGCTTCATTTCTATGTTATTTATTAAATAATAAAATATATAATAATCGTTAATTTATATAGAGAGTGAATAACTGGTGGAAAATGGTATGAATATTGCATGAGCAGTGTTCTTTCCAATGATTTTTCTGTGTTTTACAAGTATATATAAATAGACAAAGTGTACATTAAAAGTGATTTGCTATTATCTACCATCATCATATTTCAACAACAAAGATTTGTATGATTGCTTATTTCACAGTTCTTGTTATGCAAAACCACTGGAAATCAAAATTGGATATATGAATATAAACTGTTTTTCACATTATTCTTTCACTTTTGATAGCAAAAATGAATTTGGACTAAATTTAGAGTTTTCTATGATGAGAATAAGTTTATTTTAATATTCATTAAAATTATTCTCATGTGTAAAGTACTATATTATTTTTCTGACTTTCTACAACAATTATCGATACGACTGTATGCTGGAAATAGCCGTTCCCTAATGGGTACTTTACGCGGATTCGCGTTAGTGTGCCAGGCCTGGACTTTAAGCATGCACTGAATTAAATAATGACAAAATTTGTCAATAACAATCCAATATTTAATAAAATTCTAATAATAACTATATACAAAATTTAGTAAAAATCAAGTAACAATTTATTCAGTGAAAATCAATAAGAATCAACCCGACAAAACTCAAATCAATGTATTTTCTAACTTAACTCTATTCCCCTTTGGAATAGAGTTAAGTTAGTTCTTATGAATTATTGTACATAAGTACAATAATTCTTATTAATTAAAGATCCTAATTGTCACCTCAATATACTAGGAACATTTTTCCTCAACTCTCAAGACTTTCTCTAATCTTTGATCCACAGATCGAATAACTTCAAAATTGCCTTGGAACTACTTTATCCTATTGGACACCCCTCTCTCGTTTACTGCTACAAAGCTCACCATGCTCGTTGCTAACTGAAGCTGACCTCGTCCATCTTCACTTGAGGTTCTGTCTTTATACTGTGAGGTGACGTCATAATTCTGAGTGCGATCACTCCCCTCATTTACATACTTATTTGCTAACAATAAACTTTTTGTTTGTCTGGCAGCTTACTTTCCGACAATACTCACTAACCTTTTACATTATTCTTTTTGACAATTTTCGGGATGTTTTTATTCTTTAAGATTTAGCGAGGTCCTAAGTTATGCTTGTGAGGTCTCCCCCCTTTTTTTCGGTGCGGACTTACTTTTCTCCACTCGGGAGCGCAAGTGTGCGCAATTTTTAACTACAGCGCTTTTCTTTCGTCGGTGAGTTGGTTTCTCTTCTATTTTTAAGTTTCTAAGGTGAATGGTGAGGAAACCTTTGTCCTAACAAAACATAAGCCCCAAACAAAAATAGAATAATAAGCAAAATAAAAGTAACTAAAAATAACGCTCAGACTTGGTTCCTTACACATGTACTTTATTAATGTTATTTTATAAATCAAACAAATGAAGTAATATGAAAAAAAAAAATTGTATCATAGATACTTGTATCTTGGACACAAGAAGTTTAGAAGATTTTCACTTATTTTATAATTACATTTACAATGAAGCGAAATATAACAACCATGTTTTAATGTTTGAAATGAAACTTTTTAAAATGCATACCAGTAAGTAACATGCTCTCCTTTGCTGCTGCAGAGGTGTAGGATATATAGTAGGGCAGGTTATGTAAAGGTTTTGTTTTCATCTAGCACTGTTCTTTATGGATATATTTCATTGCAGGTTATATGCTTTACAGGTTATACACATGAAATTATGGTAATAATTTTTCTTATATGTTGATTTTTACAATTCTTTAATTGAAGGGTTTGTGCAGGAGAAGGTTTCAGTGTATTTACTTGTGATAATGGTATAGTTATGACATGTGGTGATGGTAGTCTTGGCTGTCTTGGTCATGGTGACTTAAGTAATTGTTTGAAACCAAAACTGATAGAAAAGTTATTAAGGTTTGTATTGAATTTGAAGTTACAGAATGAAATATGTTTTGTTCAGAAAAAGTAATAAATTAATTTTGCTGTCTATTTTAGTGTTGATGTATCAACTGTGTGTTGTGGTCCACATCATGTTGTTGTTGTGGGAGGTGATGGTGAAGCTTTTGCATGGGGTTGTGGAAATGGTGGTCGTCTTGGAATTGGAAAAGAAGATGACTGGTATGATTTGAGTTTTCTTTTTGAATTATTTGTAAAATTTTTGTTTTATTTTATAAATAAGATATTTAGAAATAATACAGTTAAATTACTGTTTGTATATTTGATTTTATTTCAGAAATATCACAACATAAATAACATAAAATCATTTTCTGAAAGTAAAGACTTAGTTTATTTTCTTTTTAATTTAAAAACTAATGATTTACATGATGCTAATTCTATATAATGGCTTTTTTATTATATATCACGCTTTTATTTCAACAGATTATTTCATAAGATGTTTTATTTTATGTTTTAAAATGCAAGTTTAAGTGATGAGCTACACTTTGAACGTTCAAATAGCATTGTTAGAACGTTTTTGAAAAACTGTTCTTTACACACAGTAAAAATTTATTTTTTATATATTTTGATTTTTGTTAAGTATCATATGATATTAGATGCAATACATAAAAATAACAAATGTAAATTTTTAAAATTTGTATTATTCCAAAATAGAATGTTGTAAAAACCATTTTTAGAATAAAATATTTTACTGCATAATTAATGGTTCTGTGTTTGTTGTTTTCATAGTGCAGTTACAGAAAAGATGGCTATGCCGGCCAAAAAGTATTCTTATTTTCTATTTAAACATCCCAATCTAATATATAATCGAGACGGGTTGATAATAATAATAATAATGATAATAATAATAATAAGCGCAGGTTAGGAGTTGAAAGTTGAAATCTGATACACAGTTAGAGTACGTCACGAAAACGCACACTAAGAAGGGATTTTTCGAAATTCCCCCGGGGGAGAGAGACAGGATTAAGGCTTAACACTTCCATCAACAATGGAAGTGTTAAGTAACAATGGAAGTATTAAGTAACAATGGAAGTTTTAAGTAACAATGGAAGTATTAAGTAACAATGGAAGTTTTAAGTAACAATGGAAGTTTTAAGTAACAATGGAAGTTTTAAGTAACAATGAAATTGTTAAGAGAAAGCGACGTGCAAGATTTACAGGCGCAGATGCAGTTTTTTCGTTTTTGCGGAAAATCAAACATATTTTTAGAACCATCTAAGAATTCTCTAATTAGTCTGGAAACAAGGGGACCCAATTCTTGCATTCTGTGAAAATGGGTAAGGTTGACTGTAACGTAATAATCTTTATCTTAGTTATCGTTACTTTTGCCCAAGCAACGCCGGGCCCACCTGCTAGTGTATTAATAATCAACCAACCATCAGCCAAGTTAATCGGGCATAAATTATGGTACAAATATTAATTTAGAAAATACACGATAAGAACAACTAGAGTGGACATTAGGTGCCATCTCTTAACTAAAGTAGTAACTATAATTTAATTTTAAATTTTAGAATAGTCTGGAAGAAAAGAATTGTCTCAGAGTGAGAGTCAAACTTGCAACCTCCACTTAACATGCGGTGTGCTAACCCCTTCATGTATTTTCTAAATTAATATTTGTAGCATAATTTCTGACTGATTAATTTGGCTGATGGTTGGTTGATTCTTGTTTCATTTTGATAAAATAAAATAAGAAATTGCAGTATTTAAATTTTTATTGCTTTGGAAAGATAAACCAATTGTTTGTTTTTATACAGTTGTTTTATACAGTTTGTTTTATACAGTTTATAATGTTGCTTACTTTATATCTTTATTTATAAGTTGTTATATCAGTTGGCTGTCAATAAATGGCATCTGCACTGGAAGAGGGAGAGGGATTATGATGAGTTGGATAAGGGGAGGGAAGAGTTGAGCTTTAGTGGGCATCTGTTTATTTCATTAAATTTTATACAGTTTATGCATTTTATTACATTTATTTCAGAATTTCTTTTATCTTTCATTTCTACTTACACTATCTATTATTCATAATGTGATAAAGATTTTAAGGGGGTCAAGTTTTGTTGGATGTCTGAAGAGAGGAAAGAGGATTATGGAAACTTGGACAAACTGGGACAAGAGGAGGAAGAGGAGTAAAAATTTTAAGAAAAATGGGACGTAATTGATGGACAGGTCCTTATGCTATAAAAAAAATAGCTTACATGTTATTCTCCAAAAAATTAATAGATTTTTCTAAAATATATACAAGGTTTAAATAGTTTGAGAAAAAATAAAATAGGAGCAGTGTTAGGAATCAACACACAACTTTACCAATAATTATTTTTATAATGCATTGAATAATAACAATTGAATAATATATTTATTTTTATCTTCAAATTTTGTTAAAACAACATTAGGTAATAAATAAATAAATAAAATAAAAATCAAATTTCAGTCCTATATTTACACAGTGAAGAAAATGGTTGTGATATATATAAATATCAATAGAACATTAAAATATTACATAAAGAAATGGACAATTATAAAAGTAAATTTATAGAACATTTTGAAATTATAAAACAAAAGAATAATATAAATTGAAATAATTATTTGTTAATTAATACAAATTAGGGTGATGAAATACTTTGAATTGGCTAATTATAATAGTAAAATATGGTAGAAGGGGAGCTTTGTAACCATTAGTTATGTCTGTTGTCAATTAATGGTAAAGAATTATCTGGTGTACTTTAATATGTTTAAATAATTTTTTAAACAAGATTAATGTTTACTTATGTTCATATCAGTTACAAAAAATTTTATATAAAAAATTTTACTGTCTATCTTAAGTAAAGGTGTATAGAAGTTTGGATGTTTGCTTTTTTTTATGTAATTGTTGATTTAAGTTTATTATATTATTGCAACATGTACTGAAGAGGGGCTAAAGCTTGAAATGCATATATGTTAAGATTGGTAATAAAATATGTTAGATCAGGGATGGGCAATCTGCGACTCTCAGTAATATTTTTTGCGGTCTGTATTGCATAAAATATGAATAAATATATCAATTTCCCAGCTTAATTCAAATGTTATTTTCTAAAACTTATTGTGAGGATGTAGGTTCTTTTGTGAGTTTTAAACTCAAAACAAAATTTTTATTATTTATCATTATTTCCCTTTTTCCTCCAGTTTCGTTTTTTTTTTTAGGAGGTCAAAATTAGACCTTTTGACCCATCAGTGTACTGCATCACTTCGAAAGGTGACCTTCTAGGCTTTCAAAGACGTTTAGGATGACAGATAAAGTTCTCCCCTCACACCCGGGGATTATTCATTTCCACCTTCATTATGATTTACAAATAACCAACCAATTAACAATAACCTCAACTTGTTACGTGATAGAGGATAACAGAAAGGTCACCAACAAGGTTGACCGAACCGAACAAAATCCCACCTCTATTCTATTCGACGTGAATAATGAGAAAACAGATCAAGATGACCATATAAGGCAACAATCAACACTCAGGTGCACCACTGATACCCTGACCTTAGCTACCTGTGACAATTAATTTAGCGAGTTTGACAGCTGTTGTCAAATTTATGATGAGAAAGTGTCACGATAATATAAACCATCCCTGATGTAAATCGAACTTACATGGGATTGCATCAGAATTTCCCCTGATAGTTCCCCTCCGGGACATGTATAAAAAGGGCTTGGACACAGTTCTCCAGGCGGACATCAACTGTAGACATCAACAGGAGTCAACAGACCCATACTGCCACTCTGTCCGTCACCATCTCACTATACTAGCCGTCTCTATCCCACGATAACCAGAAGACCACCTCCCAGGTCCACAATAGTCCCGATGATGTCATATACCAGACTTAGAGGTATTTTTATGAAATCTGTTTGTATACTCTCTCTCCGAGAAGTTCTTCTTAGAGAGGTCTCTCTCGTCTCTTAGTTTAACTTCGAGAATAGAACTTAGTTGTTTCATTGGAAAGACAAATCATTGTTGTGACCTAGAATAGGATTTCTGATTATTTTTATTTGTGTAGCTTTTCGCTTTTGCCTTTGATATGCATAATTTTATAGTTGTTTAATAAATGTGTTATTCTTGTTCAACCTGTGTAATTATTTGGGAACCTGTCGACTTATTCATCGACCTCCCCACTCACATTTAGCCCTCCGAAACCCATCCTCTGACAGAGCTGCCAGTAAGGGGGGACAACTAACCCCCTTGGTTCTTACATTATTTATGTGAATAGTTTTTCTGCAGTGAATTTAGTAAAAATTAAAACAAGAAACCAGTTAACAGACACATCGAAACTAATTTAAAACTAGCAGTGACTAATATTTAACCAAATATTTCCAATATATTATGTGTACATCAGTTCCAGAAGCTAAATTAAGTATACCTATAATACCTATACTAATTTGTAATTATATATGAATAAATAATTGTGATTTACCAACATTTTTTTTCCTCTTTTCTCTTGCCCGTGTCAGTTAAATTTAACACAGGAGTTTAACACAGGATGGTTTAACACAGGAGTTAGTTATTAAGCATCAAAGTGATTGAACTAAATCATGTCCCAGTATACATTCTAACATCTTAAGCGAGAATGTCTTAATGAGTTTTACTGTACTATTATAAAATGGCAAAAAAAGCTTACTTTGAAGGTAGAGACGAGTTTTATTTTATTTTTTTAAATTTCGAACGCTAATAACGAGTGAAATATTCATTAAGAGATATGACACACAACTACTTTTATGTCTTCACCCTGTTGACCTTTAATTAAGAACCAAAATTTAATAGTATTAATGCCCCTTTATATGCGAGCTACAGCGCCACATTTCGTTTCTTAAACTTTACCCATTCTGAGATATGGTTTAATATCTCAGAACAGAAAATAAAGAAATTAAACAAATTAGATGCCAACACACACACGTGCATGAATTTTTTTCCCTTTATTGACTTTTTTCAGAGGTTTGGGAGATCTCCAAACATGTAGATTTGCAAAAAAAACTTGGAGGGTCAAATTTGACATGATTCCAATACTTTTCCGTTTTATATACATAACAAGTTGGTATGTAAAAAGGAGTTGGAGTCAGTGGATTTTTTGACCGGCTAAAACACCAAAACTCAATGACTCCGACTCCGACTCCACAGCCCTGTATAGGAATATAATAAATTTATTTTCTTAATTTTATTTAATTTTTTAATCAGGCTTTTAGAATATCTTGATTAGAAATTCTATTTTTATAATTAAATAATATAATATAATTTATATAAAAAACATTCATTACTAAAAGCCAATATATTTAAAATTAAAATTTATGAATTCTATTTTCAGGAAAATAGACTAAATTTAAAATTTTAGTTAGAAACTATTAGTATAAAATTATTTTAAAGTGTGTTTTTTAACATACAGTGATACCTCAGTTTCGTCAATAATCTGTCCGAAAACAATCAGCGAAATCCGAAACCGAAGAAAACTGAGGCAATTATTTCCATATGAATCAATGTACTGTACAGTACACTCAATTAATTCATTCTAGACACTCCAAAATACATACCAAAAGCACATTTTACAGAGAATAAATGTAGTGTTTAATAATAAAAACAATAAGAAATTAATATAAAGTGAATATAAAAGACTAATGTAAAGAATAAATGAACATTCAACATGGAATTTCCCAAGATGGAGCTAAAAGGAAAGGAAAGCAATGGAATTGGGCATATTCAAAATCTCAGCATCTATCCAGCGAGATGCTGCCAGAAGTGATACAACTGCTGGTGTTTTCTAGAGAACACAAATGCTGACTGCTGGGAATTTTGAGAGAGAAAACCAATAAAAATGGCAAATGATGTGGACTTCCATGTTATGTTAAATGATTTTTGAACTTATTTAATTAGAACAGCTTAATGAAAAATAAAAATTTCAAAAAGAGAAATAGAGATAAAGATTTTTTAAATTTCCATGGAATTTTAAATAATTAAATCAATCCTAAGATTACACTTTAACAACTATAAAAAAGTATGTGATCTCTTACGTAAATATACTAGCATATTAAAATATTCCATTAACGTACTAACTGAATATTAATTTATTCAGGGTTTATTCATCAACAAATAAATTAAATTCAAAATTTGCCAATGCAAAATAGAGGTCTTATGAGCCTCATGGTGGCTGCCATCTTATTTTCTGGTGTATTGAGCACCAAAAAAGACGTTTGCAGTTTGCAAGAAGCATGCTAGCAGCAACTGGAAGTCATCTGAGATTTTGAATGGAGCAGGAAAATGCTTGGTTTCGCAAAATTAGCAGTGAGGTCATGTGGGCATGCCGACGAAATCCAAAGCAACTGATGAAAACTGAGACAAATTTTTCATGAAAAAAATCAACAAAAACTGAAACCAATGATAAACAAAGTCAATGAAAACTGAAGTATCACTGTACACTGAACTCTTTATCATTCATACTAATTAATACTATCATTCATGGGTTTGCATGGAAAACTGGAAAACACAGATAATCCAAAATAGTCCTTTAAACTACAAAGAAAACTATTTGGAGATTTTAAATTAACTACAGTATACAGGATGTTTCAAAACTATGCCAGAAATGTAAAGGCAGGTAGAGGGAACCTAAATAAACAGATTTCGTATAGGAATGTGGGTGTGGAAATGCCGTGAGAGCGTGCTGTTGAGTTTGGTGGATGAAAGCACTTTGCTGGCTTGAATCATCATTCCCCGCACAGATTTTGAGCAACATGCATTGTTACACCAATGCGGAGCTTGCCGACATGCATTTCATGTATGGGGCTGTGCAAGGAAATGGAGTGGCTGCTCAAAGGATGCACATGGAGCAATTTCCGGGTATCTGCCGGATTGCCAAATATTCAAATGTCTTCATTGGGAGTTGTGCATGAGTGAATTGGTTTATGCTTCCAGGTGTGATACAGGCACTGGAACATATTGCAGATTGCCTACAGTGGAAAAAGCAGTATTACGCACAGAAGACGATAGTCCTATGACAAGCTTGAGAACTGTTGGATGTGCGTTGGGTGTGAGCCATGAAACTGTTTGGAGGACTTTACATGAAGATGGAATGTACCTGTATCATTTGCAGGGAGTGCAAGCTTTGACTCCTGCCGATTACTTCTGCGTGTCAACTTTACCCACTGGTACCTACAGCAGGTTGCAGCCAATGCCACCTTCCCTGCAGATGTTTTATTCACTGATGAGGCTACCTTTTCTTGGTCAAGTATATTTAACATCCATAATTCTCACATTTGGACTCATGATAACCCACATGGCACAAGAATACATGGCTACCAAGAAATATTTTCCATTAATGTTTGGGCAGGCATTGTGCACAATAACTTAGTAGAACAATACATTCTACCTAGTTGTTTAACCAACCACACACATATGGCATCTTCCTGCAAGAGGTCTTACCTGAATTTCTGGTCGATGTTCCTCTAGCTGTTCACACACGAATGTGGTTCCAGCACAATGGAGCCCCAGCTCACTTCAGCAGAAACGTCAGGAATCACCTGGACACTGTCTACAGCCAGCATTGGATAGTACAGGGCAGACCTGTTCCTTGGCTACTGTGCTCCCCAGATTTGATATGCTTGTATTTCTTCTTTTGGGGTCACATTAAAAGCATGGTGTGCAATAGTCCCATAACATCTGAAGAAGATCTGGTTGCCTGATTGTCTGTTGCTGCTGGAAATGTGTGTGACATGCCTGATGTTTTTACTAATGTATGCCAATCCATGTGCTGCCACTGTGAATCTTGTATCACTGTTGGTGGTTGCTCTTTCGAGCAGCTATTGTAAACCGCTTGATTAATAAATTGTTGCTTTCCTTTGTCTTTACTTGTCTTTTCGCTTACCTGTTGTTAATACTGCCTTACATGCTAGCACTTCGACGTTGCATTTCTGCACCCACATTCCTATACAAAATCTGCTTATTTAGGTCCCTTCTACCTGCCTTTACATTTCTGACATACAGTTTTGAAATACCCTGTATATACAGTTCTATTCTATTATAATATGATGTAGGTGTGAGTCCCAAGTTTCATAAGCTGAAATGTATATTTAGTCAATGAACATAAAATGTAGATTTCTTATGTTTTCAAAAATATCATGTATAAATTTAAATTTTACATATATATATATATATAANTATATATATATATATATATATATATATATAAAAATGGACGTGTGTGTCCCTATATTTTACTTTTCCGCAAACACTACACATTGCACATGAATGCTGTTTGTATGTGCTGGTAGCCCCAGTCTCCATTCGCGCACTATGAGGGTTGCGTCTCGATAGCTATAAGGATGCGGGAGATATGAGGCTGAAAGTGGTTGAAAGTGGTTTTCTATTTCGAATGTTATGTTTGAATTTGTTTGAATTCAATTCGAACAATATTTGAATTTGAATTCGAACATAAAATTTGAATATTGGTTCAATTATAGAATGATTGTAAACGTTTCAGAAACATTGAAAAGAGTTCGTTTGACTGGACGTGAACAGGAGACGTTCAGAAATAGAATTGGGACCAGGTCTCTAATTAGTCTGGAAAGGGGGGGGACCTAATTCTTGCATTCTGTGAAAACGGGTAAGATTGGCTATAATGTAAGTATCTTAATTTTCACTATCGTTACTTTTGCCCACAAATAAAAACCCAGCAAAGCGGGTCCTTGCAGCTAGTTTCTATATATAATTCTTACTTTCTTTTTCAAATTACTGTACTGGAGGATTTTAGGACTAGTAGGATATTTTTAGGACTAGTAGGATATTTTTTCAAATCTACTGTTTATAGTCTCAACTTTTCCTACTACAAAATAATATTCCAATCTAAAGGAGGATGCACTTGTGGCGTGGCAAGGAAAAGTGGCAGAATGATGTCACTTTTTTTGCCACAGAAGTCTATTTTCTGCTGCTTTTCTCAATTGCTGCTTGTGTCGTTGCGCTGCTGCATGGCGAAGATGTGTTTACAACACCATTTTTTGATGCCACACTGCATGTGTGCATCCACCTTAATGATTCACCTCATTTCCATTTCTTAGAATTGACAATTGAAGGAGGAAAGAAAAGCTGAATGTTGCTTATGATACTTTGTTATTTTACAGTAATTTTAATATTTTGATAATGCACAGATAATCCTCAAAATGGATAATTGGGAGTTCAGTGTAATTTAATTTATTATAAATATTTCAATATTAATTCTTTACAGTTGTTCTCCAACTCCAGTTCAACTCGCAGATGATATTTTTGTTAAAAGTGTATATTGTGGTATAAATGGAACAATGTTTGTAACTGAAACTGGTTCTGTACTTGCATGTGGAAGAAATGACTATAATAAATTAGGATTAAATGAACCATCAGGATTTCTTATGCAAATGAAACATTTAATGATTAAGGTAAGGTTTATATCGAATAAAGCTTAATCAAATATAAAAAACATATAAAGACTTTCATTTTCCAACTATTACATGGCAATGCAATTTAAAACTAAAAAAAGCAAGAACATAAGAATCTTTGTGACAAATATTGAGTAATAGAATCATTGTTCAAAGGATAAATATTTCTTTGTTTGTTCTTACTTTAAAATCCTAAATTTTTTCTATCTTGTATTAAAATTCTTAGACATTGATATGATTCCATGATTATCTTGGCCAAACCTGGATATTTGGTAACCCTATCCATTGACTAACACTATGTCAGTTATGTATCTGATGTGGCAGTTAATTAATATGCTATACTAATTACAGACTTTTTTTTATATAAATACAGTGGAACCTCGGTATACATCTGCTTTAGAATACGTCCAATTCGGAATACGTCCTGGGCTTGGACGAAACAAATTTTGCTCGGTATACGACTTTTGTTCGGTATACGACTTAATTCAATTATATGCGCCATGTATGAACAAGTAGCACTATCGGTGTACTACACTAGACTAGACGTTTGCAGTGCTACAGTTTATATTTGTTAAATTTTTTCTGATTTTTAATTTGTAAGTAACATTTTATTATTTTTATTAATCATGAATTGCAAAAGGGCAACAGAAAAATAAAAAAATGACTAGAATCACAACGGAACTGAAAAAAGAGATTGTTGAGAAATATGAAGGTGGCACGCGTGTTCGAGATTTAATGAGATTTAACTGTTGCATTCCGTATTCCGAGAACGATGATATTGACAATCATGAAAAATAAAGACATTATTAAATTTGCTAACGTTGCGAAAGGGGTTAAATCAATTTCTAAACAGAGATCAAAGACATTAGATCATATCAAGAAATTGCTTTTGCTTTAGATAACTGAAAAACAGTGTGCCAGCGACAGCGTATCAGAAGAAATTATTTGTGAGAAAGTTGAAAGAATACATGCTGATCTCATGAAAAATCAAGCAGAAACTAGCAAGGAAAGCGAGGTGTTTAAAGCCAGCCATTTTTTTTACATGAGAACGGATTAATCATTTTTACGTTACTTCTTATAGAAAAGGTTGGTTTGGTATACGTCCTATTCGGTATAAGTCCAAACACCAGGAACGGATTAAGGTCGTATACCGAGGTTCCACTGTATATTTTTGTAAATTTTACCAATATGTAATTTATACAGTGAGATTAGAATTAATACTTAGCTACACAATTTTTTCTACAAATATTTACTATTTTACAGACAGAAGTGGAAAAACAGTTAGTTCCAACACGTTTAAGATGGTTACATCGTCGTGTTGTTTCTATATCTATGGGAGCAACACACACTGCTATATTGGTAGAACCAGGTCACATAATTATGTTTGGTTGTAACCAGTATGGACAGTTAGGCCGAGGAAATGTTCGTAAAAATTCTTCACCATCTGTAGTTAAATCAATGCAAGATAAAGTAGTAACTGTAAGTTAATTATAATTAATATTTTCTTGTTAAAATGTAATATAATTTTAGACATCATATTTTAAGGTTTGTTAATAAAATAATATAAAAATAAAATAAACATCAAATACTAGTTAAATTTAGCCAACAATATTTACATTTTAAAAATATAAAATATGTAGAAAATATGGATTAGTGAAGACATTTTGTATCTTCTGTGTATTTTATATTTTTAAATTTAATTACTAAATTGTAACCATAACAGCAAATATTACACTTTTGCATGATAATTACCAGTAAGTTAAAATATAAAACATTATGTTGAATTGTTTTATTTTAAACTGATTATTAGTTATATACTATAATAAGATAAAAATAATCCTTTTCTTCTTTATAGATGGTACAGTGTGGAAACAGTTATACAGTTGCTTCTACCATAGAAAACACTGTTTATTTTTGGGGAGGAAGACAAGTTACTTCTACACCATCTAGAACTGAAAGCATTGATTTATCCTTAGAAAAAGATCCTGTTTCACAAAGTTTCAAAACCTATAGATCTTATTATAATGAGAAGTCTAAAAATGATTTAGAATATGAAAATTCTGTTATTAGTGACTGTTCCATTTCTGAAGTAATAAAAATTGGTAAGGAGTAAAATTTTCTACATTTAAATGTCTTTACATATTTGTCTTCTTATTATACAATATATAATAATTTAATTACATAATGCAGGGGTCTTACTGCATCAAAATTGTCTCTTGGTGATATTTTTATTAAAGTGACAATAAAAATATAATAATGGTGATAAAGACTTTAGTCCATTTATTTGGACATTCAGTGTGAAATTGAATCATAAAGCATGCTTCATCTAAAGCAAAAAATTTGGTATGACAGAACATGTAAAGTACTGTGTGAACATTGTGATCAAATGTATTATTCAGAAGTATTCATTAAAAAATTATTTTAAAATGATCCCTATTTCTAAGTGACAGTTTAATGTGTTACTTTTGCTTTCCAGACTCGAAACTGATAAGGCTACCAGCACCTGCATTAATTAGTAAGTAAAACTGGAGGTGATAAATAACTTGAAGTGGCAAAAAAAATTAAAAACTGGCAAAATAGTTGGTGATTTTAAAAAATTTTCCAGACTGATTCAATTTCACACTGATAGCGTACAGCATATAATTATTAGAAATGTATATGTATAGTGTGAACTATATAAATCACTAGTGGATTCCTGAAAATTTATTCTGATTAGTGAAAAAATTCCTGGATTTTTTTATTTATCAAGTAACACGAATAAATTATATACAGTGGAGCATCAATTATCCGAAAGTCAATCATCCGAAAGAATTCCAGTCGGCAAATTTAAATTTCTGCCAGTGCTGTGGCGCTGCAATCTTTGGCTATGTCTTGGGCTATTCAAATATTTTACGTTTTTGATACTAAATTAACTTCTGAAGTATAATTTTTTATTGTTTTTATATTTTTCAATATATTTATTTTGTTTGTACAAAATAAAAAAATAATTTTTAACGATACAATAGTCTTCGTTAGGCTTAACATCGACGAAAATTCAACGCGAAGCGACACACAACAGAGAAAAATGTCAAGATGGGATAAATTAATATATTTTTTGTACATAATCGGTTATCCGAAACATCGATCTTCCGAACAACCCCAGTCCCCAATTGATTCGGATAATCGACGCTCTACTGTAATAATAAATGCTAAAATATACTAGAAAAAATTTTAATGTGTGCAACATCCATCTACATGGATTCATAAAACTAAAATTAAAATATTTAATGACTAATCTAATGCATTTTTAGAAGCAATAACACAAAAAGAATTATTTGATGACAATGTCTATGCCATAATTAACAACAATAGTTGATTAAAATTAAAAATTTTTAGATTAGATTTTTTTAAATTAAAAAATTAAATAGTTGATTAAAATTTTTAATTTTAATTATTTATTTTATAGTTATTTTTATTAATTATTGTTGTGAAATATGGCATAGGAATCATTGCTAGAGGATGTTTTTATTCATTTTATATTTTTTGTGAAGGCACACTTCATATAAAAGTTGTATCCATAAGTGAAAATTGTTTTGGAGACAACTATATATATACATACAGTAGTACCTCAGGTTACGAATGCTCCAGCATACAAAATTTTCAGGATACGACATGAAATTCAAACATATTTTTGATGCACGGTACGAACAAAAACTCACCATACGACGTTACATTAGTTCGCAGCGCCATTTTTTATTCACTTCTGTTCATTGGTCTCAGTCTGCATGTTTGCTTTGTTGTGGAAGGATCTTGCTCGATAAAGGAAATCTTGAGGTATTATTAGAGAGTTACTGATTGTATTGAAGAGAAACATCCCAAAAAGGTTCATACTGGCTGTATTGCTGCAAAGAGTAATGACATTTGCCTAAGTCATTTTAGAAACATTTTAAAAAGTAGGCAAAGCCATACTCTTTGGATAGATATTTTACCAAGCAACCTCTATCCAGTGAAAGTGCTGGTGGAAGTGAAGGAAAGAAAGCAAAAAGCAGTGAATAAAAAATTTAAAAAAATATATAAAACAGAAAAGTTAAAAAATTAGTGTTAAGTTATTTTTAAGTTATTGTTACATTATGTTATGTAAGTTAAGTTTTAGTATCATTTCCCTTCTCCCTCTCCTCCGCCACCAGTTTACACCTCCACCATTGTCTATCCTCAAAGGTAAAGTGCAAATAAAACTACATTTTTTTTATCAATTATTATTCTATTATGGTTATTTATACATTTACAACTACAAAATGCATTTTTTCAGTGTTTTCCTTACTAAAGTTTTTTTTTTCAATGTACTACTTAGCTTTAATTTGAGTGTGTTTTTTGTGTTTGAATGGATTATTTGGTTTTACATGTAATCGTATGGAGAATCATATTGTATCATAAAAATGTCACTTCACGACATTTTTATGATACAATCTCAGTTTCAGAACAGATTAATTTCGTATCCTGAGGTACCACTGTATATGATATTATTTTTTTAATATTTTAATATGGCCAACCAATTTTTAATTTTTTGCAAAAAGAATTGACAAATAAAATTAACTAAACTATTTTAGTTAAATTAAAATTGAGTTGTTAATTATTCTGTGTGTCAATTATTTTCTAATATTACATGTTATTATATGTTTAAAATAATATTTCAAATATTATATGAAACATATAATAACAAGTAATATTTCAAATAAAATAATATACAAGGTTTGTACAAAAAGTTTTGACAACATTATTTTTGTTTCTAAGTAATGATACTGAAAAGAAAATACTACATGTAAATGTAATCTATGTACTGTACTTTTATTTATTTTTTTTATAAAATCTTTGTTTTGATCGATATATTAATATGATTAATATGATGAATATTCATTAAGAATATTTGAAAATTTTCAAATATTCTTAATGAATATGTTACAAATCTGTTTGATGATTTGATTACAACAAAGGTAGATCTCATGACTGCTTTGTAGTTTTTGTAATGCTGATCTTGCATCTTCTCTTTTATGAAACAGAACTAATGATAATCTGAAGGTGCAGATCTGTAATATATAGAAGTCAAGTTTCCATTATCTGATAGTTGTCAAGGGATCAAACAAAAACAAACTGTGATATCCTGTGAGGTTTCAGATCAGGTCCGAAATCTCAAAAAACATACATAAAAATTGAAAGAATATGAAAGTAACAGAAATTATTAATGAAAAAATGTATAGAATAAACAGCTTTGTGACCAGGAAAAATTGCCAATAGAAAAAAAGGTATATTGTAAACATGTCTAAAAAAGTTAAAATAAAGTGATGAAAGTCATGAGTGCGAGACAAGTTCCGCAATGAGAATTTACAGGTGTTCACTTGGGAAAGTGAACCCTGACAGAGGCAGTTATAAATATGACAAAACAAGAAAATAGAATAAACTTTAGATAAATAAAATTTTAGATTAATAGATGGGAGAATGTTGTAACAGAATTGTTAAAATTCTTGATTGTCATATTATCAAACCACAGTAGCTTAAACATTTCTAAAAAATATACAGTAGCTTAAAATATGAAAAAAAGGGTCAAGGATCAATAAACAATTCTCAGACGGAGAATTATTTGTTGAGAAATATTGAAATAAGATATTAAATTGTACTTGGATGATTGACCTTTCTTGCACCCTAACCTGAGTTTTTTTCACCTGGAAATAGAGGATGTGACCAATAGGGAAGAGAAGAAGGAAGATCTAATTCAATCAGAACTCTTTTAATCTACTAAAATCCTATATAAACATTGGAATCAAAGATACTATTTATTCCCCACCGATTGTTCACCTGTATTCTCTCCCATCTGCATTTCTCTCATAGCTGCTCCTAAGGTTGACACAAGTACTAAACTTATATTTTGTGCTTGTGTTTTTGCTTTGTCTTCTCAACCAAGACCACCTAGGACTTTCTCCAGCTTTCCAAATTAACTCCATATAAGCTCCACATTCTTAATCAACACTGCCCCAGGGCATCCATTTCGCTGAGGGACATATTGAAGAACAATCTTACACCTCTGGACAGAGGCAATTCTGAATTGAGTTAGGAAAACTTTTGTAAGCTCCTTTTGAATGTTTATAATAAATGGATTAAACTGTCAAAGAAGATTTGTTTTAATGCCCACACTCCTATGTACTTACCCATACCACTCATCCACTCTGACTGGGGAATAATACTCTAACCGCCCATCAACATCCCACAATCCCACTTTTTTATCATTCTTGTACTGTATAATGATGGATTCCAAAATTTGCTATAAAATCTCAAACTGTCATTTATTGATGTTTTCTTAGAAGAATATTAAGTCTGTTTTTGTTGATTTCATTAGAGGCAATCTGCAAGTGACCATTATGGGACTGATTTGTAATGCTTGTTTTCTATCTTTGTTTAATTCATTGTCGATCATTTATTGCTGTGAGCATTCATGCAAACTTCTTCATACAGGTTATATCAGTAGATTGGTTACAAACTTTCAGGAGAGATAGAGTACACCTAGACGATGGAAAATCACATAGCAATGCATGGTCAGAAATGCTTTCCTGGCACATTAGTGGCGACACAAAACACAAGAAAGGAAGGACATGAACAGCATGAGAAAACATGTTTATTATTCTTATGTGAGGACCCAAACGGGGTCCGAAAGAAGGCAATTAATGACTTTTTGAATGAGTCAAGTTTCGTAGTGTGAAAGAGCAAACTTAAAGATGGAATTTAAACAATGAACCTTTTGTCTTGTTAAAAGATTTTAAACAATAGATAGAGTAAAGTTGAGGAAAACGAAGTTGGAGAGGAGTCGTGTTCCGACGCAACGTTGACCTCTCCCGTGCCTTTCGGTGGGGTTTCGAATTGTCACCATGGGATGAGGAGAGACCAATGGATAGGCAATGGCGGTGGAAAAATTGATAAAACCGTGTTTTCGGGAATTTTACGGGGTCTTGGGTTTGGTGCATAGTGCTCACCTGCTGGGATTTGGTGTTCACGACAGAGACACAATGAAGGCTCTTTCGACGCCCTAGGAACTGGTTTCGCCAACCTGTTCCGTGCAGAATCATCAAGGTTCGATTCGTCCACTGAGGACATCTCTACATATGCTGTGCGTGCCCTGGGGCTATCGTTCTCTGTGTCCAGTGTGCCGAAAATACCCAAGGACCGATTGAACATTCAAACTTTTCTGTTTTTAATGGAACCGTTATAGTAACCCATCATTGGATAGGCTTTCACCTGACTTATTGACTTATTGTAAGAACAATTTATGTATATTATTAAACGGGTTCATATGGTAAACCTGTCTCAGTGAGTCATTCTGCGCTCACACGACAGTATTGACCACTCGGCTGTCGAAATCACCTTACCCCAATCGGTTCACACTTAGTACAGCAAAAATTAAAGAAGGTGTTTGAAATTATGACCCTGGGCCATGATGCAGGCCTCATATCTCCGGCGCATTGAAGATAATACTGGGCATGTCCTGGACTTCCCCAGCAGCTGCCATGATGCGTGCGTCAAGTTCTTCCTCAGCACTGTTAACGGGAGTTTTGTACACCATTGCTATGTGATTTCCCATCATCTGGGTGTACTCTATCTCTCCTGAAAGTTTGTAACCGCTGTACTGATACACCCTGTATACATGCTTCAATCTCGGTGAATAGTAACTGTACGAATTTCCTCCCTAACAAAGAATTTAATCACTGCATACTCTTGAAAGAATATGATGTTGCCCACTATTTTGTCATACAACATTGTTATGACACAACTGGTGCAAGAGATAATGTTTCATTTTGCAGAACGGGATGATAGTTGTTGCTATCAGACATATCACATGTTCTTTAATTACCATTGGTTTATTTGTAATTCAGTATTGACCATTGCTTTCAGTACTTTGTACTTACATGAAATAAATAAAAGTGACTAAAAAAATTAATAGTATTTTTGTTTTGAAAATTGTAATAAAATGTTTCGAACATAAAAAAACTTGAATTTAAAAATATTTCTGTTTGAAAAGTTTTGTATTTATTTTAATTTAATGATATCTAAAATTATATATTGATACTTTTAGTTTTACTTTATGATTTTAAATATAGTAAGAATTTAGTGAAAATCAAAAACTTTTATAGGTAAAAGTAATTCTCCATTGATGACAGAATTAGAAAGAATTGGCCCAGATTCTTCAATTATTCAAGTTAGGACACCAGAATCTAGACTCTCAGATTCATTATCTTCATCTCAGTTAACATCTAGAAGGCATTCTGGTTAGTTAAAACATTTGAAAAAAAATCAAATGAACAGCCAGATTCTTTTATTGACTAAATAATTACTAAGTAATTTGGCAGGAGGTAGGTGGTTAGGCTGCCATTTCTTGTTAAATTAAATAATTATAAATGAATAAATTAATTTAATTTTTAGAATATCCTGGAAGAAAAGATTGTCTGGAGCAAGATTTGAATCCACAACTCTTGCTTACTGTGCAGGCACATTGCCAGTTATGCTAACCAGATCACCAGCTGATATTTGCTTCCAGGCTAATTTAGATACAGTAGACCCCCCCTATAACACTGTAGATAATTCCGTGCTATATGAATTCCATGTTGTAAGAGTCACTTAGATTTTACAAATACGTGAGCCATTCACAGTCCAGTCACAGTAAAATCTAAGTGACTTGTATAACATGGGATTCATATAACACGGAATTATCTACAGTGTTATAAGGGGGTCTAGTGTATAATCATATTGATCACTTGTGGTGCTGACTGAGGGCAACTTGTTCCTCATGGACCTTTGTTTTCTTTCAGAATGTTCTAAAATTAAATTTAATTACTTAATTTATTTATAATTATTAATTTTAACAAGATATGGTGTCCTAATAGCCATCTCCTGCCAAATTACTTAGTAATTATTTTGCCTTAATAGCCCAACAAAAGAATCCAGCTATTCATTTGGTATTTGAAGTAATTATTGGATTGTTTGTATTTATGATTTGAAGAAAATTTAACTTTTCTTTTAAGTTTTGTTAATATTGATTTTTTCTTGTACTTTAATTGATTTTCTACTTTGAAAAAAAAAATTGTACTTAAATGAAATGAAATCAAAAAGTCTTTGCCAACTGTATTTTTTCTTGAAAAATAATTAGTTCCAAAATTTCAAATATATACATGTGAGGCAGTTCCTTCTATGTTGTCTCAGCAGTCTGCAATGTTGTATTGTGAGATTTGATAAAAATATAGAAGTTTGAAAATGGCAGGTGTTCTGTCAATTTCCACACTGGAGGAACACAGAAGTGTGATTCAACTTTTGTGAGCATCTGGCAAGAATGCGAGCAAAATTTATTGAGAAATGAGTACTTTGTATAGGGGCAATTGTATATCATGGCAAGATGTGAATTGATGGTGTGAGAGAAGTTAGAAATGAAGCAACAAGCATCCAGGACATCAGATCAGGTCTTTTTCATAATCTGCCGTATAGTATGAATTTGTTTACTTGTGATTATCATCATTTTGACCTCCTCAAGAAAGAGTTAGCAGATCACTGTTTTGAAAGTGACAATGTTGTGAAGATAACAGTTTGACTGTGGCTGCATAAGCAACCAGACATATTATGAGAGTGGTCTCCAAAAATTTATCCCATGATGGAAGAACTGTTTGGCTTATCATGGAAACTATGTAGAAAAAAGGACATAAACTAGACTTTCAAATATATATATTTTGAAATTATGAAATAAAACATTTTGAGAAAAATGCAATTGGCATTGATTTTTGATTTCTCTTCATATCATAATATAATTATAAATTAAAGAATATTAGATTCAATAAATTTTTGAAATTCTTTCATTTTACTTAGTGAAATAATAAAAGTAATTGAATTAATGATGTTTCAGAAATGTAATAGGAAAAGAAAAATATATTTATGCACTTACCTGTACAACAGAATAATTTATGATGTCATTTGAAAATAACAATAACAAACATTATCATTGCAAACATTACAATGTTTGTAATGATTTATTGAAATTAGTTTTAAAATTAATAGTTTGGAAAAATCTGTAGTTACTGAAAACATTTCAATGTGGCTATTTCTCTGCTTCCTTTAATTTTCATCATGAAAGAAAACATTATTAAATATATTTTCATATTTTTTAATAGATGCAGATTATCCTAAAGCAGAATTTACCCCTGGGAAAAAAGAAGCCGTTTTACAGCCTCAGGAAATTTTGGTGTAAGTTATTCTTACTGAGTACATATAATTATTTTTATCAAATTCTATCTTCTCTCTCTTTTTTCCTTTATTAACTTAAATATTTTATTAAAAGTTGACTTCTAAGATTTCTTGATTTAAAAACTGACTTATTTTCAGTTTTAAAATATATCAGATAGTATTGTATGTAATGCTATATTTTTAGAATTAACCAAGAAATTATTTAGTGCATTATTGCATTAATTTAAATTTAGTCTTAGTCTTATCATCAGTTTTTTCTTTTTAAACCAAAATTTTTTGCTAATTGAATAGCCTGATATCCTATTTTGAGACTTTTGAGTAAAGTTTCCTCTGCTAAGTAAGTTAAGTGCATAACTGATTTATGCTATACTTTTTACTGACAATAACATATCAGGAAGATTATTCTGTTTCTTCAATTAAAAGTTAGATCAGTTAAATTCCTGCTATTGTTTAAACACATTTTTCCTGTTTCTTCTTATATATATGTATGTATGTATGATAAGAAACAGGAAGAATGTCTTAAACAGTACTCATATTTTTTAATGATCTTTTTATATATTGAAAATTCAAATTAATGCTGAAATATTATTAAGAATTTGGATTATCAGATTTTTATCTAATTCTTGATTGCAATATTGTTGAAATTTAATTTATTCAAATTAATTAAATATGTCTGCATTTTTCAATATAATTTATTTTATTTATAAATAATTGTATGTTTTAGAAAGTAATAAAAGTATTTATTTAAATATAAATGAAAATTATAAATAAAATATTATTTTTTAATTTAAATTTATAATAAACATGAATTTTTAATGAAACTATTTATTTTAAAATATGACTTTAAGTTTAATTATTATTTAAATTAAAACAGTTTTTTCCTTTTTAGTCTTTATGCTTCTTCTGCACAAATTACTCGGGGAGAAACTGTTACACTATCCAATATTTATTGCCATGCTAATCATCTTTACTTAGCTGTAAATACCACAGCGCCAATACCTAAAAAGAAGTCCAACAGAAATAATGTTTTAAGCAATTCAAATATTTCAAAAAATGCATTTAAAATAAATAAACATAATTTGCCTGAGGAAGATAGTATAGGACCAGTAAGTTGTTATTTTTTTATGATGGTTTATTTTAAAGTATTTACAGTTTCTACATTTTATAATAAATTCTTATTAAATTCCCATTAATTAAAGTAATTAATTAATTAATCGTTCTAAAGTTGTAGTGCATGGATTTGACTTCGGTAAAGTTATTTAAAGCTGCTTTCTGATGTCAAAAACGACCTCCAATAGTTTTTAAATATTTTAAATTAATATATTTTATTTTATATAAATTTAATTAATTAGGGGGGTCGGAAATCGCAATAAAATTTTTAATTTTTTAAAAATATTTAAAAATATAGGCCTATTTATTAGTCCACCCTACTTTAAACCCTTGTCCTCCCGAGACGTCTATGAGAATGACCCGGGAAATCTGACTCCAGCTGTTCTCAAGGTCATCCAGCTGTGTACACAATGACTCATATGTGTCAAATTTCACAGAAAGGCGAGACAAAGGAAAATAAAATTTGAAGCTTTTTCTTCAAAATTAACTCATTTTTTTCGTTTTTTTTCAGTTTTAAGTATTTATGTTTAATTACATTAATATCAAAAATTGCTCGGGGCTTAAGGAGTTAAACCGTTTTCAATTTAATAAAATTTCATACTTTGTGATTACAGGTGGCCCTTGACTTTTGCACATAATTGGTTCCTGAAAGTGTGTGCGAATGTTGAATGTTCTAAAGTAGAGGAATGTAAAAAAAATATGTACCAAAAACTGTGTTTAAAATATTTATTCCTTAATTTTACTCTTATTTTTCAAAATTGCAAATATCGTAGATCTGTTTACGTTGTACGAACGCCCGATTGAAACAAAAGATTTACCGTTTTCAGAACATTTAATTATTTCCATCTTTGTCTCGATCATATGAAGTTTATGAGTCCTTAATTTCTTTTTGTTTATATCAACACTGCATTTTCTCCATTTCTCACTCATGTTTATCAATTTATAAGGATGAAATATTTAAACATAAACAAATAAATTGGCAAAACATACAACACGTTGACGCACGCCCTAATGCAAGATTGAAACTGTTTTGACCTCTTGCTCAGAACACAGTAATGATTGGGATTCCAAGAAGTCCACTATTGTAGGAATTAATGTGTGGCAGAGAACGTAGTGTACTGCACTTTGTAGTGTATGAGCATTCTGCATGGAAGGAAATTTTTTCATTATCGACAAATATTTAAAAAGTTGAATTTTTAAAATTGTGCGAAAATCGAGGGCCTACTGTAATTTATTGCATAAAAATTTTTTATCTAATAAATTTATCTCAAACTGAGTGCAATTACATATAAAAATTAATTTTGAGGGCTGTTCAACTTCTGTCTGGAATTTCAGTAGTGGCAATGAAAATATGTGTCACAATGTCCCAGTTTGTTTCTTTCTCTAGGTAATCTCCTCCACATGTTGACTTTTTCCTGTGTTTAACAATGCTATTCCTGCAAAATAGAAGTATTTTGACTAATGTCAGAACTCAACTCTGTGTATGATGGAGGTGGTCAACAAACTTGGTTAAAAAATTCTGGATCATCTGGCCTACAGTCTGGATCTATCACTGTATCATTATCAGCTGTTTGGCCTTCTGAAGGAAGCCTTGGAGCCATTTTCCTGACTTCAGAGAATTCATTATTTAGTGATTCTGACACCCACCACACTACTACTATTCTGCCAACATAGCATTGTTTCCAAAATGACAAAAATGTCATTGTGTGGATGAGAGTACCTTAGAGAACCATAAATCTGGACATACAGTTCCATTTCCATTACTAATATTTTGGACAGAAGTTAAATTGCCCTCATAGATTTTTAAACATAATATAAAAAGTATATTTCTTAAATTTTATAAATTATTTTATATCCACAGTTTATAATTATAAACATGTGAGATTTATTTAAATATATTTGATTTTCTATATGAGTATAATCAAAACTGTTTGCTTTCCGAATGTGAGAAAATTAAATAAGTAATGTTTATCAAAGAAAAAAATTTAATCACTTAGCAGATATTTTTAATTTGAATATAATTCAAATATCTTCAGTTGTAGTTGCATGTCTTTTGTGATCTAAAGAAGCCTGAAATGCAGTTATTTAAAAACATTTGTTGAGTCATTCAAAATACAGTGGGTGATCGGTTAATGAACATAATCCATTCCAAGACTTTGTTTGCTATCTGAATTGTTCGTTAACTGATTATTGATTTATCATAGGTTTTTATGGAAATTTGATTAATTTGTGGCTACACGCCTGTTTTTCTTTTATTAATATTATTATTATTATTATTAGTCCGTATAGTTTTAGTTTAATTTAAACTCTAGAACTTTCCTTCCTTCCGATTTCTTTGTTCCTTTGTCTCGGATTTCCAAGAATTCGCCTCACCCCTGACCCATCAGGGGGTAGCCTTAGACAAAAGACGAAAACGGGTCTGCGAGCGAGGAAAACAAAGGGTTTTTAGGCACTCTTAGGCCGGACTCGGAGAGAGAGAGACGTGTGGCAGAAGGCTCTGGAACAAAAGGTCGGAGGAGCGCTGCAGAAAGAGGCCGTAAGAAGCGCATTGATAGAAGAATTTAGTCGACGATTATAAGACAACGCCGAAACGGACCGAAACGGTTCTAAAAGGAAGAACAGCCGAGACGAGGAACTGTAGAGAACTACCAGGAAATTCGGGTACCCTCTGTCCTTTAATTCATCTTATTTCCCCTTTCTATCTTTTCTATCTCCTAGTTTATTTTAGTTTTAAGTTAGTTTAAGTTTCCGCGCGCAACTACTTTTGTCAAGAGATAGTTATCGGAAAAGTAACTACCAGTATATTGGTATATCCGGTCGCTCGGGATTTTGGAACGTTTGTAAGTAACAGCGGGAATCCGAACTCATTTTGTAAATATATTAATGTTAGCGCGAAATTAAACTTGTTTCATTGGAAAAACGTGTCTGTGTTTTCCTGTCTGCGCTATACATTTTCACAAATTCATTCTGGAGACCCCAAAAAATAAAAAAATATATACTTTCTTACTACATTTATTTATATGCAATAATAAAAAATAATAAAAATAAAAATAATATGCCATATATACACAGTCTTGCATTTTTATTAGTCATGTTTTTTTCTGTTGGTTAAAGAATCTTCTAATGTCGATTGCTTTTCTCTCTTCTTCAGGATTTTTCAGAAGTAATTAATAACATTGTAATTGTAGAGATGCCCAAGCCTATTAACCTCAACCTGGTTTGAATGCCATTCTAAGACTGTTGTTCTGACATCCTCCCACTTCTTCAAAAGATCTTTAATAGTAGATATTGGCATTAATCCTCTTTTTCAGAAGAAAACATATCACTGAGTTTCTTGGTATTCTTCATTCAAGAGTTCTTTGTGTTCTTCTGTCGTCAGATCCGTTTCAGGTTCCATTATGAGCTCTTCAATGTTTTTTATTTCTCAGATGTAATTTTTGTTACTCCTTTAGCTGCTTGAGTCTTCTTGATTATACTGTATCTTTCTTAGATAAGATTGAACTGCAGCCTACTGTAGACCTGTTCAAGCCATACTGCCCAGCAACATCAGACATCTTCTGCCCACTCGCTAGCTTTGCTATTATACTCTCACCTTTCGAAAATAAAAACTGACACAAAACTTAATGAGTGCCTGCCTGACAGTCTCACAAATACTATAAAAGAATTGTTTCTGTCAGAAAAATAAAAGGCTGGAATTACAAGGGAGAGTTTCAAAGTTCAGAGGAATACTGTCCAATCAGTATATACCAGGTTGAGCATCGATATCGACATCTCCCAAGCTCTGAAAAGTTTTGAATTGTTGCCTGAAGACCAATTGGTATTCATTATTTTACGTCTCTTCTTCTTGTCTTTGTTCTGTGAGGTGTTCATTGTTCGAACATAAAAATCTTTCATGAAAGTGTTTGTTATCCAATTTGTTTGTATTCTGAACTGTTTGTTAACCAATTACCCACTGTATTTTTGTTTAATATAACAGTGGTGGTTTGAATTTTTTTATAATAATTTACAATGTAAATTTTTAAATATTGGGTTGAATGGAAAATTTGTTTTATAGGAACACAATTTAAAAAAAGTAAAATAAAACATATTTATTCAGTCAACAACATAATTTTTATCATTTGCAATTACTTTTTTCCAGTATTTCACAAGTTTATTGTTTTCATTGGTATAAAGATTTTTTGATTTTGATTCAAAAAATGATTGTATAGCATATTTCACTTCCTCAAAACTTTTAAATATTTTACCATTTAAATTCTTTTGTAATGATCTGATTAAATGAAAATTGGAAGGTGCTAAGTTGGGATGAATAGGGTGGATTATCTAAAATTTCCAATTTAAGTTTTTATTTTGTATTGTTTTATCAAATTGACAGGTGTTATTGTAATAAAAGATAGTTTCTTTCTGGTTGACCAGATATGAGTGCTTTTGCTTAAGACATTTGTTTATTCGATATAGTTTCTGACAGTGTACATCAGAATTTATGGTTTTATTAGGCTCTAAAAGGTCATAATAAATTATACTATTCATATACCATCATACACAAAGCAATAATTTTTGGAATGTAGAGCTTTTTTCATTATTGGGATCAATTGAGAAAGTATAAGAATGTACAAACATCTTGAAACCCAATACATAGGACCAAACAACTACTAGATTATTTAGAAATTAGTTAAATATAATCATGGAAAAGTAGCCCAATGTAATCTGGTAGTAATTTGGCTTAAATGTAAGAATGGAGATGAACAAGAACCAATTATGGATTTATGCATTGAATACTGCAAAGATCTAAATAAGTAAGTTTACCATTAAGAAATAAAATGTTTCACAATGTTAAAGAAGAAATAAATGTCCTAGTATCAAACTTAATGTGCAGTAAATCAGTTACTCTAGAATGCTCTATTTTTTGTGTATTACTAAAAAATTCTGCTGCATTTTAGTGCATTATTAAAAGATTACAATACTAAAAAATATTTTATACTTGATAGTGAAAGTTGAAATAACAATGTGGATGGATGGGTATGCAGATATCCTAATTGTTACAATACATTACAAGGGTTACAGGTGTTTACAAAAACTTTACAACACTAGGATCTGAACTCTTATATAACAGATGATTCATTTTTGTTTTCAAAAAGTTTTATAGTGAACCTTATTGTTTATGTCACTGCTTTGTATATAATTAATTAAATTAATAAAATAATGTAATCCTGTGCTGTGTATTGTTGCTTAGTACATTAAGGGAGTAAATCTAAGATATGAATTATGTAATTTGAGTGGCATGTATGTGCAACACATCATGAAATGTTACAGAGAGTGGGAGTTGAAAAGTATAAAAATAGCTTTACATTATTTATGGACAATCTCATATCCTGATTTCTGAAGATCCTTAGAATTATTTTACTGTAACAGAAATAAAATAAATCCAAATTGAAATATAAAAGGAATTTACTATAGACTATATCATATGTATATTAGTGGTGTGAATATACAGTACCATTCACCTGCTAATTTATTTTATTTTAATATACTTATCTATCTTATAACTTGTATTAATGTTTAACACGGGCCAGCAACCCTTTTTGGCTGCNTATTTCACAAAACATACACCAAAACTGCTTAGTTCAGGGCACTAAATACTTTTTATTAGTATAAATGTTTTCAATCTCATTTCAGATCATTATCTGCTTGCATAGCTCTACATTTGAAAAAAGAATGGCAGTTGCAAATGTGTAGTAATGTTACAGATGAAACCTAAGTAAATCTAATACAGCTTCATATCTAAATTGTGAAAAACAGTTGAAATATTCTTCATTGTTTTTCTCTCCACATACTTGGCTGAAAGTGAATTTAGCAGTTGTTTCCTTAATGAAAACCAGAAATAAACTGGATTTTGCAGCAAGAGATATTTGGCCTTTCAGTGTCTAAATTGGAACCAAAGATAAGAAAACTTAAGAAAGATGATCATCAAATCTAAGGTTCACATTAAAAAATGCAGAAATAAAATATCTTTAATTTATTTTATAAACCTTATTTATCTCTAATCTGTTTGCTTTGTTGTTTGATCAGTTTATTATTATTTACTGACTAAACTTCATTAATCTTCTTATCTCATTTCTTTTGAATTTCTTGCTTTTTATTGTAAACATTTAATATTTTAACTTTATCTTTTTTTTTTTATTTACCCAATGTTTAATATTATCTTTATTTTCTCTAAATTACTCTTGTATAATTGAAAATATGTAAGCCTTGATCATTGTTTATTTTTTTCAATTTCATGTATAAATCACTAGAAAATCAGAAAATGTGTCCATATGTGATAGGTATTGATGAGAGAGAGATTTTTGGAGAATGTATATTAGTTTAAAGAAATCACAACATGGTAACAGAAAAAATGAGCTTTTCTCAGTATTCTCAGCTCCCATACAGTTGAAAAAAGGAGAACAGTATATAACATACAAATACAAGAGTACATTTTAGTTTTTATTTGGATCCCTGAATGAAGCAGTTTTGGCATTTTACTGTATTATATTTTATTTTCAGAACTCAAGTGGGTCACAGGTTGCTGAGGCCTGGTTTAACATATCAAATAAACATAATTAAAGAACTTTCATTTAATGTTTTGTAGAGAGCTATTTAGCAATTCCAATGCAACCAAATCTAGTATGGTGACATTTCTGTACATCTGAAAGACATTTCATAAAAATTTAGTGTCAAAACTCATCACTAGGCACTTTTGGTGCTTTGGATCTTAATCTGTGTGATTTTGGTTATGTGGACATGGACACTTAAAAAGTTGATTTATTGAGGATATGTTACAAATTTTGCAACCTTGAAAGGCTGTATCACGCTACATATGAGAAGAATCATAAAGAATCAATTGTGGCTAATTATTGAACACATTGCCTATAACCTTCAGAATACACTGTTCATTACCCTCAATGGGGATCACATTGTGAGGTACTATCTGCAGCACTGAAGTCTCTGTATAAGCATGAGTGTAATGTACAATTAAAATATTTGTTGTTTGCAATGCCAAAAGTGCCTTAGCAATGAGTTTTAGTATTAATTTTTTCTTTTTATAGGAATGTCTTTTGCATGTCTGCTATTGAATGCAATGTCTTCTACACACTGCATTCAATAGGCATAGTTTAATTACAGTCATCCTGTATAATGTTATGTTATTTAGTGAATAATAATAATTTAAATTTTTATGCTTTATTTTGATTTTGTAATGTTTATTAATATTTAATTTGTTTAGGTTCCAGAATGGTTGAAAGAAGAACTTGCAAATGCTATTTTACCTGGAATTACCATGGATAATATTTCAGTGCCAAGGCAAGGTAACAATGAAAAATCCTATTCTAGTGAGTTATACAAAAACAAAGAAAGCAGAAATGTAGTATTTATTTAACTGTATAACATGAAATTTTAAACTGATTACAGTAATAAAAAAATTAAAAATTAGAAAGAACACTAAATGATTGCCTAAATAATTGGACTATAATTTTGCTAATTTTAATAATTAATACTAAGTAATTATTAATTTAGTTAAGAGATGGCACCTAATGTGTACCTTTAGTAGCAAATTACTTAGTATTAATTATTAAAATTAGCAAAGTTATAGCCTGATTATTTATGTGATCGTTTGGTGGTGTTGTTTCTATATACATATCAGGCTTCACAATGGGTGTTATACTTATAATTTAAAAAATAATTATAATTAATATCTAGACATTTTAATTACAAAATTTTTTTGATCCCACATGCAAAAAGCAAAATATAAATAAGATTTGCTGAAAAGCTTATGGAATAATCATCCATTTTTTGGATTTTAACTTATCTTGACAATGTAAATCCAAAAGCCTCGAGTAAGTCTTATTTATATTTTGTATTTTCTCTAGAGAAAGCATTTTGATCAAATTATACAATTGATAAACTTTCATAACAATATATATAAAGACTGGCTCTAAGTACCAGAAAAGCATGCATTTGTTTGGTGCATCACATTTTCAAAGCAATATTTCTCAAAAACTAGTTCTATAAAAAAAAATATAAAATATTACAATTAAAACACCCACAATTTAATTTATTTTTTGAATTAGTATCATATCATCATAAATTAGAAACAAGTAAAATGGCAAAGCCATTCTTGGGATGAGACTGTCTCAGAGAGTGCAAGCAATGCATGCATAAATCTCACACTCATGCCTGTTTGTAGAAACAGTCTCAGCATTTTGTATTTTATTTTGACCCAGTTCTCGGTCCCCTGACTACCTACAAGTCTGGTTTATTTTTATGTGTGTATGATTTGGGCACCAAATACTCTGTGCCAAATTGCAACTTCTGACATGTACTCCTTCATACCTCTAAGGTGTGTAGCTGTTGACTGCAGCGTGATTTTAGAGACAAGACATAGTCTCGTCAATTACTTAATTCTCAAAATTTTGTTTCAGTTAGAGATATGAGAAGTTAAAATTTAGTAACTCTATTTAGTACAGTAATACCTCGACTTACACTACCCTGACTTATGCGAACCCAGAGTTACATGATTTTCAAATCTCGTCAATTTGTCTTTTGTTTGAGCGCCACGCAACTCTTGATTACTCACTCCCCCCACACTATTGTTCAGCTTACATGTTCGGACGTGTCACATGGAATCAACACAGCTACAATTTATTTTGTGTTATTTATTTCTGTGTTTGTTATATCTACGGAGACTTGAGAGACTCTATGTGGTGATTTCTTGTAAACGTGAATGAATCAAAAGACAAGATAAAATTTAATGAGAACATTTATTAGCTTACATATATCCGACTTGGATTTTACACAAATTGCGAAATTATACCCCGACTTACGCGGTTATTGCTCGGTTCCACCTATCGCGTAAGTTCGGGGTATTACTGTACAAGAAAAAATTTTCAATTTCTGTATACAGTACATCTATACATAATTAAGAATAAATAGTATTTAGAATAACGATGTTTGAATCTTATAGTATATAGTTTTAATATTAATAACTGAAAATATACTAAAACAGTTGTTAATATAATAATTCTTTTATTATTAAATTTCAGAAAACACTTTTGATTCATCAAATAAATTGCATAATAATCAGAATATAGATGTTGCAATGATAAAAAATAAAAGTGGTAGTACTCCAAAACATAAAACCTCTGAGCATTTTGATAATATAGATGATAGAAATAAATCATTGTAAGTATTTATTTATTATTTAATTTTTTAATGTAAATATCTAAAATAAAAATTAAATAACATTTCAAAGAGTAATAAAATTATAATATCAATTAAATAAAAATATTTTGAAAATAATAACATCTTAAATTTATTATAATATCTTTATGCATTATATATGTATTTTCACATAGCTATGCTTTTAATTGACATTAAAATAGTTAAAAGCAAAGTTGACTTTCAAAAGAATTTTTATGTTTCAAGATGGTCTGTGTTTTTTAATTTTTGATTTATTAATTTATTAACATAAATGAATTTTCTGAATATTATGAGTGCTAAATTGAATTTATGTTCATACATTGAACCTCCATTGAACATAATCTCAATTTAGCACTCAAATTCACTATATATATAGTATATTCACAATATTTTTTAACATATTCCTTCCTTAATTATTACAAAGAAGCATGTAATTTAAAAAGATATTAACTATAGCATTTTCATAATAAAGCTAGTTATTTTTAAGCTGAAGTTGATACAGTTAATATATTCTTATTTCTTTGTTAATGATAAATTGTTTAAAAAATAATGTCAAAGACTTAGTTCTATATAAGTATTATTATGTAATCTTCTAAAAGTCATCTAAAAGAAAGCCAAACATTTTTTAAGCAATGAAATTATAATTGATAATTATTGTATCAAGTATATAAAAATAAGCTCCACAACCATTATAATTTCATTCTTCTTCTGCAATTTGCTTTAAAAATATTCATTATAGTTTTTCTGGTGTAATTAATACATTATTTTTAATATTTTATATATTCTGTTAACTTGTACATTCTGGATATATTATTTTTCTTGATTTATTATAAGAAATAGTTATTGATATTATTAAGTATTATAGATCAAGAAAGTATGTAAGAAATAAAAATAGATATTTATCAAGTTTATAAGAAAAAACAAAATTTGTTTCTTATATAAAATTTAACCATTTTGCAAACAGATAAAATAAATTAGTTTATTATAATGAACAGCAATTAAATGAAAAATGTAAAATTTTAGATTTTTATGTACTAATAATAAAAGTCCCCATATTTAAAAGTTAAATCCAAAGTTAAAAACTAAACCAATTTCCCAAATAGCACTTCTCAATATACTGTATTTATCCAATAGGATGATAATATATAAGGTGCATTCAAGTTATAAAATAATGTACAAGGTGCATTCAAGTTATAACACCTCCAATTTTTTTTTCTCAGGACTGGAAACAGATAGAAACATGTGGTTTGTTTTAAAATACGCATGCACTCATTGTGAATGTGTGACAGAGATGGCAGCACTGTACAGCACACAGAACTCTAGCGGCAGCAGTGAGTGAGGACTGTTTTTGATACTTAACCCTTAACTGGTATCGTAAATTTTTCAAACGTAACTGGTATCATGGGGGCTGCGCGGCCCCCAAGCAAAATTTGCCCTTAGAAAGCAAGTTTAACAATGTGACAGTTCAAAAGTGCATAAATGCTAAATGGAACCCTTCTTTAGTATAATCAACTTTTATTTATTTACATAATTTTCTTTACTTAATTATTACAAGAGATCACAAAATTGTTACAACTTTTGGTGTATGCTTTTTTTAACAAAACAAAAATCTACCCTATTGTAAGTTTTTACCAAAGATATTTTTTTTCTTATTCTTAAGAAACTAATCTTATAAAAAAGTATCTCTTATAGCCTCTAACTATCACTTGTTAAAAAACCACAGGTAATATAATCACTTCTATTTTTAAGACTCAGGAACATTTTAACGCAATTACGTAGTTCAGTCTTGAGAGTTATCACACAGTATTTTTGTACTACTATGCACTTTGCAAATAAATTTCAAACAACTGTTGCACTTAGTAGCATATTTACCATCTTTTATTCCAGCACAAAATGACAACATACTCTTTTCAGGAGATTTCGGCTTGATCTAGCAATTTGTATAATATTATCATCTATTAGTAGTTCAAATGATTCTTTGGTAGTCATTTTGAATTTTTGATGCAAGGTTGAGATATCTTTGCAAAATAATTGTAAAAATAAAAAAAAACATAAAAACACATTTCCACAAAAAACCAACATAACTGGTATCGTGGGGGCTGCGCGGCCCCCAGAAGATACGTAGCTCCACCCTTGTAAGTGCTACAGGGCCGAACATTTGGCACTCGCTAAGAGTCGCGACATAATGAGATTACATAAAATGGCAGCTGCGCACGATATTTAGATTTTTAGAAAATCGTAAAAATATGACGCGTGGGGCCGCGAGGCCCCCAAGAAACCAGTTAAGGGTTAAAATGGTGATGTTTTCATTACAAGAACAGCGTGTAATCATTTGTTTTCTCCATTTGAGTGGTGTGACACTGATTGAAATTCATCACCAGTTGAGTGAGACATGTGGTGATAGTGTCATGGATGTGTCTAATGTGCATTCATGGGTGCAACAGTTCAAAGAAGGCAGAATGTTGTGTGACAACAAACCAAGACAATCTTGGCCTCTCACCAGCCAGTCTGACAACATGATCGAGCAAATGGAGAAAGTTGTTTTGGAAGATTGCTGAATGAGTGTGGAACACAGCACCTCCAAAGTTGGCATTTCTGTGGGATCTGTGCACACAATCCTGCATGAAGACTTGAAAAGACCAGTACATCAGGCAAATGCAATGTTGCAGTTTTTTCATGACAACAACTTTGAAGTGATTTCTCATGCTCCCTACTCACCTGACCTGACTCCTAGCAACTTTTGGCTGTTTCCAATGATGAAAGACACTCTCCGTGGTTGCACATTCACTAGCCGTGCCGCTATTGCATCAGCGATTTTCCAGTTGTCAAACTAGACTCCTAAAGAAGCATTCACAGCAGCCATAGAATTATGGTGTCGATGTTGTGAAAAATATGTATGGCTGCAGGGAAATTATGTCGAGAAGCGACACAAGTTTTACAGTTTTTGTGTGATTAGTTTGTGAGAAAAAAAATCGGAGATGTTATAACTTGAATGTACCACATATTATAATATTGTCATCATACCAAAAGACAGATAGATTATTGTCTTTTCCTGGATACTTCTTACAATTATTTACACAGCAATTAAATGTATTTTATTTTATTGTACATATTGGGTCCATTTTCTAGTAAAACCACTTTGTTAAAAGATGGTTAAGCTTTTTCTTAAAGCAGAAAAAGCTTATTAAGTTAACTTCTTTAAGTTAGCTACTGCAGCACTAGTGCAGTGAAGTTCAAAGTGCCAAAAACAGAAGTTAAGATGGCTGCCATCATAAATTATATGCATATTACATACTTCAAATGAAGATTGTGACATACAAAAATGTTTTTTGAACTGGTTATCTGAAAAATTAGAAATGCACTTTTCCATATAATCTATTCTGACATAAACATTTTCAGATTTATTAATAATGGTGAAAGTACATGTTATATTGTTGTTGTTTACCACATAAATAATTGCATTTTTACACAATATCGAATTTTTCTGATCGGCTGTCTCTGATATATCAATACATTAGCTATTTGTACCAAAAGAAAATAGAATAAATGACAGTATTCTTAAAAATTTTTTAAAAATGTAGAATAAACACACTTCTGTTTGCAAGTGCCATATTGTTTAGCATTACAGAAAGCCATCATATAGGCTTATCACCAGAAAGGACATGTTTCATATGAGATAAACAATAAAAACATTGACATCATAAATTCCCTGCATCAGTTCTTTTTCCACAAGTCCTGCCAAAAACGATAGATTGAGATTTTACTGTAAATTCCTAAACACTTTGTGAGATATGAAAGGGTTTTCATTAACCCACTAAGTCAAACACCCAACAAACTAAACATGCAGTAGATATGAAAAAAAAATCAATTTTTTTATGCATGATATAAGTATATAAAAGTTCAAACAAGGATGCTAACTCCAGGTTGGTTACACCTGTAGTAACCTCAAACTCAGTTGGTGGAACAATTACAAAATTAATAAATGACCACAACACACCAAGTTGCAATAATTCTAATCTGTACAATACACAAGAATAATTATTATAAAAATAATATCCCTATAACTAACCCTTAATACTAAACTTATGCTAATATGGAAAAATAAAGATAGGGGGCAAGTAATAGTAAAGATGATTGATTGGACAGAACAAAGATACCTAAGTCCTGCAAACATCTTTCAGTCCTCATTGTCATGAGGGACCCCAAAGAGATTCTTGCACAAATTAACACTTTCTTCTTTTCTCCTCAGTTCCCAAGGGTTTTGATAACCAATCTATCAGTCACTTATTCAAAACTCGCAACTGGTCAAGTTGATACAGAATCCAACACACTAACTTCAGTCCAGGAATTTCAAGGGTTCCCTGTTGAAGTTACAACTTTATCTGTATACTTGGGTATCAGACAATTTCATAAACCTGCCCTCAGGTAACCTCTCACTCTATATTGGTTATTCCAGGAAGTGGCCTTAACCACAAAAAGGAAGAATTAATGAGATTAGAAAGTTTTAGAAGATAGAAAGAACAAAGACATGGAAAAATGTAAGAACAAGAAGACAAAAACAGGCATATGGTGTACAGCCAGAACATCATTCAAATTCAACATACTCAGATATATTCACATTAGTTTATTATGGTGCAATTGCTAATAACATACCAGGTTATAAAGTACAAGTACAGACAGACTCAATCAAAACAGAAAAATTATAAGCCTGACTGACAAAGAAGACTAGAAATACAAATAAATAACATTAGACAATAATTAAGCAGGGTATGCTTAATTATTACACTAAATTATACACTAAGCAGGTTATACACTAAAAACAATATCACAAAGACTTAAATGATACATCAGTTAATCTGTGGAATTTTGAGATTAACACCAGAGCAATGTTGTAGATGCATAAGGAATGTTAAACAAAGCAATTTTATTTTGTTTTATGTTCTTCAATGCACAAGAATTTTGTAAGAATTCAAAACCTGTAT